GTGGCCCGGCGAGCGCTGCCAGCGCGGTACGTACGGAGAGGCGCCGTGCCCGCGCCGTGACTTAGGGGAAGGTCACTTGAGTCCCGACCCCACGCTAGCCCCTGCTCTCTGCACCCTTGTTACAGCGGTAAAAATAGCTTCCGCTCATCTTACTGAGTCTATTTTTAATCTTCTGAAGAGAATCCCTTTTGTGTAGGGCACAGAAAAGTGGCCAGGTCCTTCTGTTTGCTTGTGCGGGTTTGGTTCACCACGTTGTGACCTGTGATAACCTTACCCGTTAGGACGAAGGACAGTTTAACCTCGAATTGCAGGAAAAAAATTAAACAGTCCTTGGGTAACGGAAGAACTGTGTCCACGTACCTGTTGAAACCCTTCCCAGGCGAGTCCCGAGCGTGAGGGTTGGGACAGCTTTTGATGTCATGGTGGAAGACACAAGCAATTGTTACATCTTCAATTGTTCGGTCTTCAGGGGGCCCCTGTCCCGCTCACCTCAGTCGTACAGCATGGGTTGAGAGGGCCTCGTCCTGGCTCCAGTCATAGCCGAAGCATGTTGGGGTTTGGTTACTGGGTGCTTTGAAGTTGCGCTCATTCTGGCTGAAGTCCTTGACGGAGCGGCAGTAGTTGGTCGAGTATGCCACAGGTTATTGGTTGAGTAATCTGGATTAGTTCTCCTAATAATAACTTTAAAACGTTTTACAGATTTAATAATTAAAATTTAATGAGGTGCTTTAACCGAAATATTTGTTATGGTGCTTTAAGAGAACTTTGGCTGGTCAACAACTTTCAGTTCTATTTATTCAAATGAAATAGCGTGGCTGTTTGCAACCTTGGGTTTAATTTTGGCTCCTTAGATCTCTGAGATTAATTCTGGGGCTCTTGTTCTGATCTTTTGCTTTTCTTAACCCACTTCTTAAGTCCCGGACTGCCTTTCCCTTCTCCTGCCCCTAACTGAGTTGCTGATAACACTGTGTTTGACTCTTGACTACTGTGTAGTAAAGAGTTCCCTTTTTGCCCTGGGGGCTCTGACATAGTCTGATCTTTGAACTTGAATTGGAAATACATTGAGCACGTTATCAGAAGTGGATCAATAAAAGATCCCATGGTAGGGGTTTGTCACAGAGAGTTTGAAGTAGTTCTACAGCTGAAGGTGGCAGTATCTGCCACTTCCTGCAACAACCATCTCATTAAACCTCTAAACTCAAGTGGCATCTTTCTGGGTTTGTTTATAAACACAAACTTGGTATTTTTAAAGAATGTTTTTCCTACAGGCCTCATGGAATTTTAAAAGACAGTTCTTCCGTCTTTAGAAATGAAGTCTGCCACTTTTTTCCTAAAAGGTTACTAATTTAAGCTTCAGGCAAGTTGGTTACTAATTTAAAGAGGTTAAGTAGGGTTACTTTTTTGAAGAGAAAGTCCCCTGGATGGATGTGGTGGTGGTGGTGGTGAGGATATCCAAGTTTTAGGGGAAAACTGCAGTTTCTCTAGGCCATGGTGCGGGCTGTTTTAACTTGCTGGGGTGAGGCTTTCTAGAGTTGAAACCACCCTCTCAGGATCACATACCGTTGTTCAGCTGTCAGAGAGCCCTTTTGTGAGTTCCACCCGCTAACAGTTTGGCTGTAGATGAAGTTTCAAGGAATCAAAGCTCCCCATATGGCAGCTGTGGAAGTGCTTGGTTTCTAGTTGCATGGCTTGACATTTCCATGGCTGTTTGAACAGATTTTTCCCAATTTTTCTTTATTTTCAAGTATTCAAGTTTGTATTCCCATCTCCATTTCTTCCAATAATTCTCTGACTTAGTGTTGAGGTTATAGAATTAAATCAGTTTCCTCCTCCTTCTTAACCCTCATAGATTCTGTACGACATTTAGCATTCTTTTAATGGGTATACATAGGGAAGGGAGAGAAATTGTTGGTTATAAATGTTTCAAACAAAAGGGAGGTTGATAATTTGGCACCTTTTTCTCTGACATTTTCTAAATTTTTATCTACTTACAAGATTGTTCAACTGAGCAGTTTTTAGCCCAGGCGTAGCAGGGTCTTGCTATGTAGTTCAGGCTGGCGTTGAACTCACTGTGTAGCCCAGGCTGGGTTTAAACAGAGATCCTTCTGCTTCAGCCTCCCAAGTGCTGCGATTACAGGCGTGTGCCACCACACCCAGTAGAAGTTTGATTTTTAAAAGAATGTTGAAAGTATTGAATTTTAATGAAGTCTATCCTAAAGGCTTAACTTAATATGAGTTTACAGTATTTCATTTAAATTTTGTTGTCTTTGTATTTCAGTATGAAAATCCATGGACAATTCCAAATATGTTGTCAATGACAAGGATTGGCTTGGCTCCAGTTTTGGGCTATTTGATTATTGAAGAAGACTTTAATGTTGCACTAGGAGTTTTTGCATTAGCGGGACTCACTGATTTGGTAAGTTGTAAATGCATTCTTCTTTTTCTTCCTTCCAAATGACAGGGTCTCTACCGCTGCCCCACAGTAAATAGCACAGCGTTAGTCAGTTTTTCTTTGGGGGAAAGTCTTAGGGAATAATTTCATGTACTGTTTTGTGTGAGGATTGCCTTTAGCTGTGGGACTGTTCTTTATTTGATCTAAGGAGGAGGTGAGAGTTGTTGGGATGCATAGGAGGGGATATTTTATTCTTCCTATGATTTTTAATTTCTTCGTAAAAGAAATAACCTTAGAAATTCCCGGCAGCCAAGTGCTTACTTCAAAGATAAAAATAGGGGAAGCTGTGAGACTGTTTTTCTTTTCTTTTTTTTGTACTGGGGATTGAACTCAGGTCCTTGTGCTTGCGAGGCAGGCAGCAGAACCACTGAGCTAAATCCCAGCCCCTGTGAGACTGTTTTTCTACTTGTGGTAAAAATACTGTCATCTGCAAGGAGCTGATTTTCCTAGAGAAAAAGGAAACTGTACCAGATGCCATAGCCCAGGGAACTAGAATGTGACGGGGAGCTAGTGGAGGCCAGCGATCTGCCCAGCTTTCGGGCCACCAGGAGGCTGTAAGTTTCCTGCGAGTTTAGTCCCTGGTTCGCTCTACACCCCTCTGTCCACCTGCAGGAAGCCTTTGCTGGGAGCTGGATGGTGGGCCCCCTTCCTCCTTCTCCTGTCCACCGGATGGACAGAGAAGAGTGCTCTGGTAACGTGTCTGCTGTGGGGGAAATGATTTTAGAGCAGACAGCTGTGTCAGTGTTGTAGACCAGCCTCGCTGTCTTCAGGCCTGAGGTGATTTCTATTTATCACCTACTTTGTTTCAGAAAGGATTTGAAATGGCTGATAAAAGTACATGCCGTACATAAACAGTTGAGAAGGTAGGGAAAAGGTAGAGGAAACATTTCAAATAGGGACAAGGTTAGGCTATGGAATTAGATACAGTATCTTCTTGCTCTGGGCTATGATCTATGTGAGCAGCTAGACCAGCAATAATAATTTGGTATCCCTTCAAACCAATATATGTTTGAAAAGCTTTGCTCAGTATTTGTTTAGTGAAAACAAAGAGAAACTGATTTTCTAGAAATAAAAGTGGGACAGTATCTTTGTAATGTCAGCTAATGGTTTTGAAGTTTGTAGAAACAAAATTCTACCCACTCAGAAGCAGCACTGATAAGCAATGGAGAATTAACTGAAGGTTTTGAAGGGAAAAAAGGAGAGTATTTGCTTTACTTTGTGGCATCTCTAAGTGTGCAGCAAGTGCAGCCCCCCATAAGCACTTGTCTTTCTCAAGAGCTTAGCACCATTGCTCCCCAGGCTCTTGCCCTGCTTTCTGTGCCTGCCCTTATTTCTGAAGCATGAAGCTCTCCATTAGTTACTAGTGTGGTCTCCATGTTGTGGAAAGCCATTGTGCTGAAAATAATATCCATACAGGCAAGCTTTTTTAGCTACTGAATTCATTTTTTTTTGTTTGTCTGCTAGTTTGCTTTTGGCGGGAGTTAGCTGGCTGCCACACATGAGGGCCTTGTTAACAAACTTTCTGAATGTATAAGATGAAAACCTGAGTTACCTGACACCATAGCTCATTCTGTGGAGGTTTTGATGCCTCCAGATTGGCTGCTGAGCAAATGGTCCAAATGAGCAGTTTTAAGCAAGGGCATAGCAGTTGGGTCTGATTTGCTCTGTGTGGGAAGTGGTTGACAGGAGTTAAGAGGAGAAGCAGAGCAGCTGGCGAGGACGCTTACCTGGTAGAGAAATGGTGAGCGCTTGTGCCACGTTGGAGTATGGAATCAGAAGTGGATGGGTTTGGGACACTGTTTCGAAGCCAGTGTTGGTATCTTGGTGAATTAGCTATGTGGAATGAAAGAGGAGTCAAACAGGAACACTAAGCTGTTATTTTCTGGTGCAGAAGGTAACTTTCTGGGATGGGCAATACTTGGGGCGGGACAAGGTTTAGGGAAAATACCAGGAATTTTGATGACTGTCATGTAGAGGCATCAAATGGAAGATTGAGTGCAGAAGTATGGAGTTAGAGGGAGTCATCATCACAGAGCTACAGATAGGGAGGTGCAGATATGGATGGCCAAGGCTGGGTGAAAGGTCTATCCCAAATTAAAGAGGAGAAATGAGAGGGCAGCAACAGGTAGATGGTAATTTTTTTCTTTTTGGTAGTTGATCAATAAAAGGTAGGAAGGGAGAGATTGATGTGTAGGAGAAATGAGGGAGAGAGACAGGTCACAGAAAGTGAGGGCTTGGGATTAGAGACCAGAAGAGGCAGAGGATGAGTGGACACCACTGGCAGGTGGATTTGGTGGTGGGAATTCCAGGGAGTGTTGGCAATGTTTTTCTTTTTTTTCCCTCCCTCAAGGAAAATACAGATATGATTGTGGGCTAGAATGAGCGGGGTAGGAGGAATGCAGCAGGTGTGAGAAGAAAAGCAGATCCAGTGGGTAACCCTAGGGCTGCCAGGAGCACTGAGAGTCTACAGGAGTTCGTGGTCTTGAATTCATAAAGGTTTTGAGCAGCATTCAGCTGCTTGTGTGCAGGCCTGGCATGCAGGAGAGTGAGGCTGTGCAGGGTTGGAGGAGAGTGGAGGCAGCGGGCACTACAGTAGATGTTTGGCAAGGACTGATGACATTGATGACCTTGAAATCTAATGTGAGTTCCAGGAATAGGACAAGGCAGCGGTGATGGCTGAAAGCGGGGAGGGTTAAGTTCCCTGACACGAGCAACTGAACTGAAAGCTGGATATTCCAAGTCCCAGGCTCCCCACTGTAGGCACTTTCTATTAGGTAGCATTTCATCCAGGCTACTTAAAAAGAAAACAGAGCCAGATGTGGTGGTGCATAACCATAGTCCTAACACCTGGGAGGCTGAGGCAGGGGCATTGCCACGAGTTCAAGGTCAGCCTGAACTGCATACATGCTTCTTAAAAAAAAAGAGAGAAAATAAACTTTTCTAGCTGTGATAATATTAGCTAGTAACTGCTTTTTTTGAGTATTTAGTAAATTCTGAGTACTGAACAAATATTAATCACATTTTGAGCTGAAGATTACCAACCCTGTGAGTTAGGTAACATTAACGCTGGATAGAAGAGGAAACTCAGGCTGGGAGAGGCCAAAGAGCTTGCCCCAGTGCTACAGAGCTAATAAGTGACAGAGCCAGGATCTGAACCAGTTCTGTTCTACAAAGTCCCAAGTTCTTAAGCCCTTTTCTGTGCTGCGGTTGCTTCCTTTAACTCATTGGAAAGCTGGAAAGTTTGGGAGGACTTTGTGTATAAAATAGACTATGTGTAAGTACATCTTAGAAATAGAAATAGAATATTCAAACCTTCATTGAAGCTTGAAGTTAAATAAGATGAATGAAAGCCCGCTGGGAGCTGCAGTAAGCCAGACTTGTCTGCCCTGCTTAGTGGGGACAAGCAGTACTGGGCTTCCATCTTTTTCCTGGCCCCAGGGGTTCTAGGTCTTTTCCTTTCTTGAGGTTAGCAGGAGATCTGGATTTTTATGGGACCATTTTGAATAGTAAATGTTGACAACTAATTATTATTTTTACAAGCTCTGGCAGGCCAAACAAAACCAGGCTGCGGCCCCTTTGGCCCACTGGCAGTCATCTGTGATCTCTGCCTTTAAGTATCATTTATTTCTAGTAATAAATAAAAACAAGTAATTAGTAGCATTTAACTAGGTCAGGTGCAGAGAATTGAGTTTTTTTATCCAAGTGCAGGTAATGCAAATGTAGTTAAAACATAGAATTAATAGTGGTACGGAACAAAATACATTTTTAAATTGACAGATTACGTAACAGTCTAAGAAGTTGGGGGTGTGAAAGTGCTTACAGTGCAGGGTCATCCTTTCGAGTAAAGGCTGCTGTTCTGGCTGCAGTGAGAATAGGCCAGGGCTCTTGTCAGTCACACTTACTGGGTTTTAAGGGTTCCTTACATCTCTGAATCTGTTTCTGGATTTTTCCCATAAGGAGACATGGGGAAAGAGTGGAAGGCCTTGGGGGAAAAGAAAAGTAATGTGAGATTACTTTCTGAACAGTTGCTAAGTTAAAAGCTAAATGCATCCTAAAGGAATGAGAATGGGGTAAGAAACAGAACATTTTATAAAAGTGTAGTTATCCTTATGTCTCTGAAACTTCAAGATACCAACTTTGTTCCTATCATGACATTTATTAAAAAACACTTCTATTTTCAGTTGGATGGATTTATTGCTCGAAACTGGGCCAATCAAAAATCAGCTTTGGGAAGTGCTCTTGATCCACTTGCTGATAAAATACTTATCAGTGTATTATATGTTAGCTTGACCTATGCAGATCTTATTCCAGGTAAGAACGCCATCATGCGTGCTTTTAAATAGCATAGGGACCCTGACATCAGTCAGCTTAGGATTTCTTTTGAGAGACGTAATTTTTGTTCCAAAAACTTTTTTGAGCTTTAAACTGTTTTTCTAATTTTAAACTGTTGAATTATTTGGTTATTTTAAAATTTATGTCTTTGTTACAACTTGTAGAAGCAGTTGTTTTCTGAGTAAGATTGTTTAAAACTGAAATTGAGCAGATATTTCACAGTTCCAATTCATACTACTCTAGAATCTTTTGATGCTATTTATATAATGTTTAGTGCTCAGCTTTTTTAAAGTACTATCGCCTAACTTTCCTAAGTCTCTGCTTATCTTTATTAAGTATAGCTTAATCATAATGAAAACTCGGAAATCCCAAAAACATTCTAAAATTTCCCATCATTATTACTAGACTACTGCACAATTTTCAAATCATGTATATAGTTTGTATATTATCTGAATACTTATTCTAACTACATTTTAGGATCTTGTGCTTTGTGTTCTGTGTGTTTTATTGGTTGGTGTTCATTTTCCTCTTCAGCTGTGTTTTTCAGTTTTTCAAAAAGATTAAATTACTTTCCCCTAAAATTTTAGAAAAAATGCTAGATGGGGTACTGCACATCTCTAATCCTAGGTACTTGGAAGGCTGAGACAGGAGTATCACAAGTCCTAGGCTAGCCTGGAGAGCTGATTGAGATCCTGTCTCAGAATAAAATGTAGCTCAGTGGTAGAATATGTGCCTAGCATGGGTTCAATCCCTAGTACTGGAAAAGAAAGGTTAGAAAAGGGATCTGAAAAGATAGGAACTGCTGTGTGGTTCTCGGGTGACACTGTTGACATTTGATAGGAAGGAGCACAGGAGTGTGCCGTCCTAGTGTAGTCTTTTCAAGCTTGATGTTCCTTTTTTCTTTTACCTTTGGTCCTCTTGAGTTTTCAAACCAAATTTTAAAAAAATTGAGGGGGGAGGTTTGAGATAGGATCTCACTGTGTAGTTGAGACTGACCTGGAACTCACTGTGTAGCCCAGGCTGGTCTCGAATTCACAGTGATCCTCCTGCCTCAGCCTCCCGAGTGCTGGGATTACAGGTGTGCACCAACATGCCCGGCTTAAAATACATTTTTTAATGTGCCGATCTGAAAGCTAGAATCGAGGTAGGGATATTGTCATTATAGCATTTGCAGTTTACCTTTAAGGAAGAACTTAGAGCATTCTGTGGACATTCAGTATTGAATTTTAAAAAATTTATTTATTTGTTTGTTTAGTTTTTATTTTTTTGGTACCAGGGATCGAACTCAGGTCCTTGTGCTTGCAAGGCAGGGACCAGAACCACTGAGCTGAATCCCCCAGCCCTTTATTTTTACTTTTTAGTGTGTATATGTGTCTTCATACCTCTCACTTGTTAAAGTTACATTGTATTTACTGTGTTGTTTTATTCAGGTTAGCCCGGTCATTTTCCTTTGAATGTAGAATTTATTTCCAGGTTTTTGGTATTCTGGTTGCTTTCCAAATTGGACCTTTCCTTCGCTGTCATTTGTGTTTGATCTCTTTTTCTAGGCTCCCACGTTTTCCTTCCTCATAAGTACTCCTCATTTGTTTGGTTTTTTCCCCCAGTTTTCTTCAAAAGGATGTAGTGTGGCAGCAAATCGTTTAGGGTCTGACATCTGAGATGTCTTAGGGCTGGGGGTGTAGCTCCATGGTAAAACATTGTTATTTGGGCCAGGAATTTAGCTCAGTGGTTCCGCTGCCTGCCTCAAAAGCACAAGATCCTGAGTTCGATCCCCATACAAAACACACACACACACACACACACACACACACACACACGCACGCACGCACGCATGTGCATATATTGTTATACCCTCGGTACATGATTGGCCAAACTGGGCACAGTTTTCAATTGCTGGTCATTTTCCCTCAAGATTTTGAAGATTCTCTTCTGCAGCCTTCCGTATTCATGGCACTGTAAAGAGGTCTGATGTAGCTCTAATACTTTATATGTGATTGTGTTTAGTATTGGAAATCTTTAGGGATTTTTTTTCCCAGTTGATTTTATTTTTTTAATCTAAAAATGTTTTTCTAGCTATTTATTTGGATACCCAGTTACTTCAGCACCTTTTATTTAACGATATGTATTTTCCAGATTCACTGGAATGTTCAGCATCTATAGGTCCTCTTCTGGCCTGTGCACCCCTCGCCCCAGTTTGTCTTCATACCAGCAGCCACTTCTAATGTTGCTTTGGTAAAAGTCTTGGTATCTTGCAGAGCAAGTTCTTCCATCTTTGATAATCTCAACCTTTTCCATTTGTGTATAAGTTCTAGAATTAGCAATCCTGCTTTTTCCAGAATCAGCAATTCTGTAGGAAAAAAAAATCGGTGTGTATGATTTTAATTGGGATTACATTGAATTTATAGACCTATTTAGATGACTTCACCTTTTTTACAATACGTCCACCAAAGCACAGGTCTTTATGTCTCAGCTTTATAATTTGCTCTAGAGAGGCAAAACATTATTTTTTACAGATTTATCCCTATGTATTTGATAGTTCTTGGTACTTCTATAATTGGCAATTTAAAAAATTACATTGTATAGTAATGTTCTTTTTTAAATGTTGATTTATGTGTCTAGCAGAATTTACTCTAATATAAATTCTGTTGGATTTTTTGCATCCCCAGTTATGCACTGTGCTCTGATAACTGACATGGTATTTCTTCTTTTCCAATCCTTTCACCTTTTCTTTTACTTGCTCTGTGTGTGTGTTGTTGATGATGTTGTTGTTATAAAATACCAACACTCACTCACAAGTTAAGGGAGGAAAGGTTTATTTAGCTCACAGTTTGTGGAGGTTTTAGCTATAATTGGCTGGCTGTAAGGCAGATGGCACAGTAGACAGGCATTGCAGAGCAGAAACAATTCATGTCAGGCAGAGGGTAGCAAAGCAACCAGGGACAGTCATACCTCTTCTTATTTCTTGTACCTTATCCAGTACTAGGGGCAGGTAGCACTCACGCTTGGTCCTAGTGCCCCTGATCTTAGCATCACACCATGAATCAATTGCAAGGTCATGCACTTTAGATCCGGCCACCTCTGAAAAAGCCCCACCTGTGCCCATGAGTCTCTGAGGGAAACATCTAGACACAAGCCATAACACTGTATTACACTACATAGTGCAGTGCTTAAGAAGTGACCTCTTTTCCCAATCTCTCACAGAGAAAGCTTTTAACAATTCACCATTGAAGATGGTTCCTGTAGGGTTTTATAGAATTCCTTTCTTCAGGTTAATTCCCTGCAGCTGGGAGTTGCTTCAGATTTTTTTTTTTGTTTGTTTGTTTTTTGTTTTTTGTTTTGTTTTATTTTGTTTTGTTTTAAGTTCCTTTCCTGTCCTCTTCTCCTTCTCTCCTTCCTTCCCTCTTGTCCCCTATACTTCTTGTCTGGAATTTTTATAACTGGACATTGAATACTCTTTTTATGCTATCATGGGTGAATTTTTTTTTCTCCTTTAGCTGTTAATTTGTGTTGAATTGCGTTAATTGATTTTCTAGTGTTAAAATAACCTGCATTCCTGGTATAAATGCAGCTTGCTGTGATAGTTGTGAAGATATTGCTAGAGTTGGTTTGATAGTATTTTATAAAGAATTTCACATCCAAATTCATGAGATTGGCCTAGAATTTGCCAGATGTCTTTGTTAGGGATTAGTATCAAATTTATGACTTACCTCAGGGTAGATATGTAGATTATGCCCCGGGATTTATTTCCTGAGGATTGTGGAATCCCAACATATAGGAATGTGCTTGGGACTTCCCCAACCCCTCACCCAAGATATGACTATCCTCATAAAACAAGTTTGGGACTGCTTGGGATTTTATTTTTTCTTCCATTCTTGGGAGATGTTTGAGATTGTAGTTATTTTCTATTTTGATAGAATTTGTTAAAGTCATTGAGGCCTGGAGTTTTTTTAAGGGGAAAGGTTTTAAATCGTTGATCATTTTTCTTTGTTATAGGATGACTCAGGTTCATCTTTTGACCATTTTGTGACTTTTGATTTATTTTAGGAATTTTCTCATTTCATCTACATTATAAATAATGTATCAGAAACTTTATAATATTCTTATTAGCTTTTTATTTTTCTTCTTTGGCCGTGCGTGTGTGCGTATTATTGGAGATTGAATCCAGAGTGCTCTAACCCTTACCTACATCACTGGGCCTTTAGTTTTTTTTGAGACAGAGTCTCAGTATTAGTCCAGGTTGGCCTTGAACATGATCCTTCTGGCTCACCCTCCCAAGTGGCTAGGGTTATAGGCATGTGTCACTGCATCTGGCTTGAAATTCTTTAGATCAGTAAAACAGCCATATATGTAATTAAAAAGAAGAGGAAACTGGTAAAAATAAATTAAATTAGATATTTTATTTAACCTACTATATTAAAAATAGGTCATCTCAACATATACTCATTAAAAATTATTGAATTTTAAGACATACAGTGGCTTTGAATTCTGGTGTTTATTTTGCATTTGCTGTACCTCTGAGTTCTGCTTGGTCATGTGTTAGTTGCCCAGTAGCTACATGTGGCTACTATGATGGTGCAGCTGTACATGGATACTGTACGTAACATGTTGCCATGTTGCCTTTCAGTTTTCTAAGGTTTTCACGGAAGCCTGTCCTCTAAGCTCAGCCTCACTCACCCTGTATGTTGATGTTAGTATTTTTGTCAGTTGTTTTGTATATTTTCTGATCCATTATGATTTTTTTCACATATCTGGTTAATAATTATTTCTTGTGCAGAGGTGTAGCTCAGTAGCAGAGAGCTTACCTAGCTCAAGGCCCTGGATTTGATCACCAGCAACACAAAGTAATAAGAATAATAATTAGCTAGTTGCAATGGTACATACCTATAATCCTAGCACTCTGAGAGGCTGAGGCAGGAGGATCAAAAGTTTAAGCATAGCCTGGGCAACCTAATGACTTGGCAAGAAACTGAAAATAAAATAAGGGGAAGCAGGGACCTTGGGGCCTTGGGGATGTAGCTCAGTGCAGTGCCTCGGGTGCAGTCCTCAATACTGGAGAGAGAGAAAGCAGGGAGAATTCCTTAATTTGTTGTCAGTTTGTGGGGATTTCCTAGGTATCTTTTTGTTACTGATTTCAAGCCTAAAGAACATTCTCTGTGATTTTAGTCTTTTAGCCTAGAAAGTCTGAATTTTATAAACATTCCAACTGTGCCTCTGTGCTTGAGTATTCTCAGTGGATGATTTGTGATGTTCTGTATGTGACCAGTAGCTCAAGTTTTCCATCTTGTGTGTCTTCTCTTTCTTTACTGGCTTTTCCCCCTTTTTGGCCTGCTTGTCTGTCAGCTATGGAGAGACTGTTCACATTCCCTTGTGTCTAGTTTTCCACCATTTTCCTTTGCAGTTCTGATTTTGCTTTTTCTCTCTTGGAGTCATGCTGTTAAGTGTGTATAAATGATATCTTCTTAGTGAATTGAATGTTTGATTATGAAGAGATCCACTGGATGGTTACAGATAGTAAAGTCAGTCCAGAGATGCTAATGTCTGGTTCACAGCGCTGGGCTGGAGGCCGGAGCACTATCCCAAGCCCTGTCTGAGTTCCATAGCCCTGTCTGAGACGGGTATCTTCATGATTACCATACATGGACTTTAATTTGCAAGGGTTTGCTGCATTTTAAATGTTTTAATGTTGTTAGTCTTTACCAGCTAATGATTGCTATAAAAAGTTTTCTTTTGTAGAGTAAAAAAAATGCTTTTGAAAATTAAGGCTTGATTTCTCTAGCCTGGCTAATACAGTCCTGTCTTTTAACTCCAAGTGCTGTCACTCCAGTGCTCAGCATTTCAACTGTGGAGTAGTGTCATCAAAGAGGGCTCAGCTGAGGATTAGCAGGATCAAAAGTTTAAATCTCTAATCAGTGAGTTTAATGTTCAAACTGCAGAGTCCATGTAAAGTCAACAGCGGATGATAAGTACAACCTCGGATAACTCACGGAAGAGTTGTGTGATGGTACTACGGAAGGGATGGATGCTCCTTTTGTTTTATGATTGTAATAATTTCAACTGAGTGAACTAGGTGTTTGAATGGAGAATTTTTTCCTTTCCTTTAAATTTTTTTCTTACAAAGGTATAAGTTTGTGGTTAAAGCTTGTACAGTGCAGAAGGACACAAAGTGAAGAGAGGTCTCTGTGCACCCATCCCTTCCTGCTCAGCCGGGAGCAGGTCCCTTGGCTGTGGTGCAGGGACCATGCTGCAAGTTTGAGGAACATAGGTTGAGCATCCCTAATGACATTGTGCTCAAGACATTTGAGATTTTAGCTGGGTGTGGTGACACATGCTTATAATCCCAGCACTTGGGAAGCTGAGGTAGGAGGATTACTGTGAGTTCAAGGCCAGTTTGGGTTTACATGGTGAGTTCAAGGCCATCCTGAATTACAGAGCAAGACCCTGTCTCCAAAAAAAAGAAAAGGAGAGTTCAGGATTTTGGATTCTGGATTTTTGGATTAGGGGTGCTGGACTGGTAAAAGTCTATGCAAATACTCCAAAAATCAGAAAACTGAAATTTGAACCCTTCTTATTCAGACACTTTGGTTAGGGAGTGTTCAACCCGTAGTAAGAAGGCTCTTCACAAGTTGGGTTCATTGATTCCCTGGGCAGGGAAAGAAATAGTGTTGCCTGGGTGGCAACTGGGGACATGAATGAAAATATTTCTCTTTCTCCGCAAGTTGTACATACAGTAAGTTTTACTCTTCAGAAAAAAATCCAAAATGCAGAATCAAATAATCAAAGCACCTGAGACTCCAGAAAAATTTAAGTCCTCCAACACCCTTTTTAACCCTGTTATCTCATTTCATTTAATCCTAATGAGTGCAGTGATTTTTTTTTCTAAATTCATAAAGCTGAGAAGTAACAAAGGAGAAAACAAGAGGGACTAAGTAGAGCAGACACTAATGTGCAGATTGATAGTGTATAGTTTATGTAATGGCTTCTAAACATTATAAGATACATGCAGAGAAGTGAAAGAGACAGATCATCAGCATTCTGGAAGGCAGTTCTAGACTCCCACAGCCCTGGTCAGTTACTTCACTTTCATTGAAAAGAATATAAAGACCAGTGGCTCACCATAAGGACCCTGAACCATCCATCAATGCATGATTTTCACTTTTGAGAAACATCACTTTATGGTAAAGCTGAGTGAGACTTTGTAATCATAATGTGTATTAGTAATTTTCAAAATTCTCATTAGTTATTTTGTATTTTATTTTCAGTTCCACTTACTTATATGATAATTTCAAGAGACATAATGTTGATTGCTGCTGTTTTTTATGTCAGATATCGAACTCTCCCAACACCGGTGAGTTTAAAAAAAGTGTTCTTTTAGTGCATACAACTGAGGAAAAATAAATATTCATTCTGTTGCATACTGTTTTACTTTTGGGGAATAATTATGGCAGTTATTTTTTTACTTATTTACCAAAATTTTAAAAAGTTAACTACCTTTCTATTTGAATTACATGCTCACATAGTTATTTGGTGAACGTAAGTCATCATTTTTTCAAAGATGTGTTTCTTTTTTTTGGCTCTTTGGCTCTTTTTTATTTGTTTGTTTGTTTTTTGAGTCTCACTATGTAGTTGAGACTGAACTGGAACTCACTATATTATAGCCCAGGCTGGTCTCGAACTCAAAGTGATCCTCCTGCCTCAGCCTCCCGAGTGCTGGGATTACAGGCGTGCACTACAATGCCTGGCTTTTCTTTGGGTTTTTTTGAGACAGGGTGTCACTGTGTAGTTCAGGCAGGCCTTGAACTCATGGTGATCCTCATGCCTCAGCCTCCTGTGATTACAGGCGTGTGCCACCACACCCGTGGCATGTTTCTGAGTCCAGCTCTTCAATGGATGGCGTGAAATGCAACCCATGTGCCCTCCATCTGTAGCAGCAAACTGTTGGGGGTGTTTACAGAGCTCCCCACCATACTGGTGTCTTATTTAGCTTCCATTGTGGATTATTTGTAACTGGTTTTTTAAATTACAGTGTATGAGCATTGGATGGTTTGCTTATATACTTTTCATTGGTTCTGTAACTATTTGCACATATAAGCATTGTGTAATAAACTCTTGTTCCCAGTCCAATGAAAATAGAGAAGTATTTTTCATTTTGTTTTTAATCTATAAAAGGAAATGAGAGTTTTGCATCTGCCAGGTGTAGTGGGGCACACCTATAATTCCAGCACTTGGGAGGCTGAGGAAGGATTGCAAGTTTAAGATCAGCCTGGGCTGCATAAGGAATTCAAGGGCAGCCTGGACTACGTACTGGTAATGAGATCCTATCTCAAAAAAGCAAAATTGGGACCTGAATTTGTTTTTCCAAATAAAGTTGGGGAAAAAAAACTAAAAAATAAAAAGTTGTGGTCAAGCAAACCTTATCATAGTTGTTGTGTTAGGATTTTGTATAGCCACGGTGGCGCACGCCTATAATCCCAGCACTCAGGAGGCTGAGGCAGGAGGATCACTGCAAGTTCAAGACCAGCCTGGGCTACATAGGAAGTTCCAGTATAAAAAGGGAGACCCTGTCAAAAAAAAAAAAAAAAAAAAAAGAAAAAAGAATTTTATAAGACTTTAGAAACAAATCTATAAATTTGAAAGAATAATTTTCAGGGCCTACCTACATGTGATTTATAAAGAATATAGATTGTAAAAAAAAAAAAGAATATTGATTGTACTTATTTCACATTACAAGAAGATGTGTGGAAAGGCCTTTTCTAGTATGGGGCCACGCATGAGGTAAGCACTCAGGAACTGTTACTTAAGTACTCAAGTGTAATAACAAGATATTTGTTTTAAATTTAGATAATAAATTGAAACCATCTTTTTTTTTGTCTTCTGCCAGCGAACACTAGCTAAGTATTTCAATCCTTGCTATGCTACTGCTAGATTAAAACCAACATTCATCAGTAAGGTAAGAGATATGCAGCATCTTTTTAATTATTCTTGGTGAATTTTTATTCTAGTGAATATGAATTTCAGTCAGCAGCAACTGTGAAAATGAGACAGATTTAAATTCATTGGCAGGGATTAAGTGTGGAGTTGTAGGGCTGGGGATTTAACTCAGTGGGCACTACACCTGCCTGGCAAGCACAGGGTCCTGAGTTTGAGTCCCAGCACCAAAAGGAAAAAAGAGTGGGGTCGTGCAGATAAGTTTAACCAAATTATTTTGTCCTCCAAGCTTGAAGGACCCTTAGAGCAGTAAACTCTTGACTTACAAACTCAATTCATTTAAGAGGGCTGGTTGTAACTCAAGTTGGTCAGTTGAAGACTCAGAGTCGTCTACACAGCCTTCAAAGTCTCTATTCTGTGTTCAGGCAGATCTTAGGATCCTTAGATATTGGCCCAGGATTTCTCAGTTAACCCCACATAGGAAAAGATGTAATGATCCTTGCAAAACTCTTTAAGAGCTAAATCTGGAAGCACAAGCAGCTGGCATTTGGGTCATAACTTAAGACTTTGGTCATATGTTAAAACTAAAATCAGATTGTAACCCAAATTGTTCATATGTCAGGCTAGTCATACCTTGAGGGTCCACTGTATACACAAATTTCCTTGTGTGGCTTGTCTTTAGGCTTAAACTTGAAAGTTTTAACCAGTCCAGGGAAGGTGAAGGGAGTTGTAATTGTTTCTTGATTGAGGTGTGAAGAGTCTATAGTTTTACTACCTCCTATCCTGGTGCAAAAACATCATGTTAAAGGCTTCCTCACTAACAAACTGCTACTCTTAGTTATCCATTCTGTTTTCCAGAGTCATTTTCAGGATAACTACATCTGTTTTTAAGTACGAAAAGGATACTGTCAAGCCATACATTGGTACGTCGGTTCACAAATGTGATTTTTTTTCATGATTCTGGGTGCAAACTAAATCAAGATCAGTGGTGAGGTTCATTGTTGACCTTACAGGGGAATTTGATTTGGTTTGTGAACCAAGGTACCATTGTATTTTTTTTAAGTAGTCTTGACAAGTTCATTCAAGTCATCTGTGTGTCCTGTCCTTTGTGACAGAAATTTAGCAGGTTGGGGGTGGGGGTCTGATCATTTTAGGGACAGAAGCACCATTGCTTTTATAGAGGTAGAAGCCGGGCGTTGTGGCACACTCCTGTAATCCCAGCGCTCAGGAGGCTGAGGCAGGAGAATCGCTGTGAGTTCGAGACCAACCTGGGTTACACAGTGAGTTCCAGGGCAGTCTGAACTACATAGTGAGACCCTGTCTCAAAAAACAAAAAAAAACAACAAAAAAAAATTATAGAGGTAGAGACTCCTGGTGGTGGATTTCATCTGCTTGTGTAAGGGCTTTTTGATCTCCAGGGTCTTGTATTTGTCAAGTACTGGAGAGAAAGTGGCTCATTGGAGGGACAAATGCATCCGACACTTGTTCTTGTAAATTGAGTCATTTATTTTCAAAATCAAAGTGGGGTCCCTTCATTTGGGTGCAGCTGGGTGACAGAAGCACAGCACTGCTCTGCACACATCAGGGCCCCTGTTTCGTGTACACCATCTGCACAAGCACTGCGCTGAGTCCTGCTCAGGTGTCTCCTGGTACTGTCTCTTAGGGCAGGGAATCCCCCTTTCCCCCAGGGCTCTTTCTCAGAGAGGAATGCTCACAGGGCTCTACAGGGGGCCAAATGAAAGGCACTAGCAGTATGGATTATACTTTGGTTCTGTAGTCCGCTGTGACTGCAGGCAGGTCACCTACACTACCTCATCTAGGAAGAAGCAACTTCATTACTGCCACATTCACAAGTCTTCTTTAATGGGCAGCTAGGAAAAGGGAAGCCAGATGTGGTAATGCAGCCCTGTAATCCCAACTGCTCAGGAGGCTGAAGGATCATAAGTTTGAGGCCAACCTGGGCAACTTAGTGAGACTCTCAGTGTAAACTGAAAAAGGGCCTGGAATAGCTCAGCACACGTTTATGTCTCTTCTCTAGAGCTCTTCTCTAGAAAGTGCAAAGCTTTAGGTTTAATACGTAGTACCACAGAGTGTGTGTGTGTGTTGGGGGGCAACATTATTGAATTAATCATGGAAATCCAGAACAGTGGTACAGTATGTATTTTCTGGTAGTTGTCATTACCCTCACTGTAGAGGGCCACTGTGGAGACAGGTGGGGCCATTCTTGAAGCTAACCTTTTTAAGCATTCTCACCCGTGAATGCCAGCTTCTCTGGCATGGACGCTGCATATTAGCATCAAGCATGCTGAGTATGTTGTGATGGGCTGTGCCTTTGTTCGAGAACTTGAAACAGGACCCAGGTTGACACCATTTATAACTGCTTTTCTTTCTTTCTTTAAAGGTGAACACAGCGGTCCAGTTAATCTTAGTGGCAGCTTCTTTGGCAGCTCCAGTTTTCAATTATGCTGACAGCATTTATCTTCACATACTGTGGTAAGCTAAATTTAGGGTTACTCTCTGAAAATGCCAGCACAGTGGTGGGCTGTGGCAGTCCTTTGGAATAACTCTGTTCTTAAAGTGTTTAATGCACACTAATAAGATAAAGCTGTGGTTTATTATTGATGCTTCAGACACTTACTACCAAGTGTGAAGTGTAGAAGTCCACTTTCATGAAATTTAAAAGGAAAGAGAACTGTGTCTGGGTTTCAGGTAGGAAGAAGTGGGATGAAAGTGGCACTTGAGGCAAAGGGTAGGTGGATTTTGTACAGGAAGAGACCAATAGGAGGCCACCAGGTGGAGGCAGATCATCAACAGTTGGTGTAGGGGGCCTGTGGTAGGAAAAGGGAAGACCAGCCGAGTGCATGGGTAGAGCGGGAGGGAGAGAGGACCGTGAAGCTTATCATGCTAATTGCTTATTTCTACTCTTCCTCCCCCTCTCCATGCCCCCACTCTCCATCAGAGATCGAACTCAGGACCTTGCATTTGTGAGGCCAGTGCTGCACCACTAAGCTAAATCCCTAGCCCTTATTTGTGCTCTTTAACAGTGTATTACATCCAAAGTGTGTTCAAAATGTGAACTATATTTTGGTGCATTTATTTATATAACTATAATGAAATGTTCATGCTTGATACAATCTGGAAAGAGGTTGATTAATCCAACTAAGTTAAGCCAAAGGAATTTTTTAAATGAAAATATTCTATAAGCTTTTTGTTTTAATCTAAAATACATATCTCTCTATGGATTTTTTTCACTGTGATTCATCTAATATTTTCTAATAGAAGATGAAGGCTTTTGCTTGGCGTATAGGTCCATCAGGAGAGTTTTCTCTCCTGAATAAATTGCATTTATAATACAAACTTTCTGGTTTTCATTTTTTGCTTTTTTAAAGGTGCTTCAAGAATTTTAGACATTTGCAGAGCAGTCAAGAGTGTAGGAACCATCCACATTTTCACCATATTTCCTCAGTCATTTCACAATCATCTTGCCTACTTATTTTGACAGTATGTTTTTAATCAACTTGCTTTAATTGTCTTTCGTCATAGACAACTTAGCTCTCAGAAAATGTACTTCTTCCTGCCTTGTATTCATGGGTTTATGTGTGAATTTGGAATACCAGGCCAGCAGGAGCAGCTTTAGGATGAACGGAGGACTCTGCTGCTGATCCTCCTCAGCTGGCCTGGCAGGGCAGCAGTGCCTGAGGCAACCCTGGTATTTGTAAAGCTGAAAGGGACTTAGAGTAAATAAGATAGCCTGAGAGTCTTCAAAGGCCCTAGGAAATAGAATGCCATCCCCTGAGTAGCATGGACAGAGGAGAGCGTACAGGGGCTTCAGAGCTGACCGGTCCTTGCCTGCCTGGTCTCCAGGTCTCTGCTTCTCGAAATTTGTGACAGGAGGTGTTGGAGAGTAAAATGAGATACCTGGGATAATGTCTAGGTAAAAATTTTAGTTGCTAGTACTGCCGTTAATGTTTAGGGTTTATTAACTAAATTTTGTTTAACATCACTAATTTCAAATGAAGTCTTAAAGAAAAGCTATATATTTAGATTTTTGTAGTTTACAAAATAAACCACCAGCCTGTCTTAGTCACTTGCCCCATCACTTACAGAAAATACTGGACACCTGCAATTTAAGAAGAGGTTCAGTTTTAGTTCAGGGGTACAATCCATGGTCAGCCTGCTCCATAGCAGGAAGAGATGGTGGAAGGGAAGCAGCTTATGTCTTGGTAGCCAGGAAACAGAGAGAAGGGAGAAGAAAGAGGAGGAGTTAGACCCTTAGGGTCACGGCCCTAGTGAGCTGCTCCACCTCCAAACAGGAAGTCCGCTCTAGCACCTGGTGACCCAGTAACTTGCAAGGGGACAGTCTCAATGTCACCCATTGTACACCCGTTTTCCCTTGTAAGTAGATTTTTGACATGTTTTTATGATTCTTGCTGTTACAAAGAAATCTTTCCTCTCTTAAAAGGTGTTTTACAGCTTTCACCACAGCTGCATCAGCTTACAGTTATTATCATTATGGTCGGAAAACTGTTCAGGTGATAAAAGACAGATGAAAGTCACCCATTACCATCAGCAAGGAAGCGATAGACATCGGCAGCGGCAGTGCCAGAGTAAATCTACAGGAGTTTCCCTGTCTTCCTGTTCAACTGGGCAAGGGACTTATCAGAACAAACCATGTCCTCAAACTGAAGTAGTGTGCATCGAACAGAAGCTTGATCATGGCATATGCGGAATCTCCAGTGTATTTTTTAAATACAAGTAAAGCTATAATTTAGAATTTTTAATCTTAGGTTTCTTGATTAATTTATAAGAAATTAATTATTCCAATTATGTCTTTTTTATATGTTTTTTAAAAACAGCATGGAAACTGAAGAGTTGACACCTCTAAGTAGACTTTAGATTGCTCACGAAACAGTAGTGAATTTGTTGGGATTAAATATGCATCCTACACATATCCTACACCACTCGGCTATAGATGTTTATGTTTGATTTTTAAACCTGTATACACAGTAGCAGTTTGTATGGTTACTATTTGATCATTTAGAATAATGAGAATAAAGTTAGCTTAGCTGTGGATAAAGTAAAATGGTACAGAGATTTAAAATATAATAAGTTTGAGAGGGCTAGGGATTTAGCTCACTGACATCATGACTGCCTTGAAAGTGCAAGGTCCTGAGTTCAATCCACCGTACCGGAAGGAAAAAAAATACAGAAAATGGGTACAATGAATCAAAATAGAAGATATTGAGATTTGTGTTCAGAAGTCTTCCAGCCTCTCAGGTGCCTAATAGTTCACATGACAAGTAACAAAAATAGTTGAAGTAAAAGAACATGTCCATTAGCCTTTGGTCTAAAAGGCCATAAGTTACTTATTTCCACAGTCACTGCATTTCAGACACAGCAGTATTTCTGTGATACTGGAAACTGTACACATGTTATGTAAATAATATGAAACTGTATATTTTCACAAGTTTTTTAAGCTTTGGAGAATCTTTTGTTAAGATGTTAAAGAAATAAAACTACTAGAAAAACACTTGTACCTTCAACCTGGGTTTTCTGTTTTGCATACCTAATCCTCTGCTGTGAGTTGCTTGATTCATTAAATCTTATGCAACGTATCCCCTGCACTTACATTGTGAAATAGTTGGTTTGGGACTGTCTGACTTAAAGACCTTATGCTGTGTCATCCTACATAGGAGAAAAGGGACATGCAGTGGGAAGGAAGACAGTGGCAGTGCGGTTGGGTCCTGACACTGGAGGCCAGTTGCTCCCCGCTGTCACTAGCTTGACCCAGGCAAAAAGCAGACTCAGGGTAGGACTTATCAGTCACAGCCTGTGGGGCTGGGGTGAGTCACATGGAAGTTGTTAGGAAAGCCCATGCCCCTTGCTGAAGGCCCTGTGAGATTCTCTCTTATTTGCTACTCCTGGCTTATTTTCAGACTGGCAGCTGAATTGCCTCAGCTTGGAGCATGTGGAGTCCTGCACCATGGCACTGCCACTGCACCAGAAAGTAGGGAGATGGTGGCCTGCAGCTCACTTCTCTTCAACCTGACATCCAGGGTCAGCTGGAGGCGAAAGTCCCATTGCTGGGCCATCCAAGAGGGCCAAGAGTGCACACACATTTTTTTTTTTAATTTTTTAATTTGAGACAAGGTCTTGGTATGTAGTTCAGGCTGGCCTTGAAATTACTGTGTAGCCCTGGCTGGCCTCAAACTCAAGGCAATCCTGCCTCAGTCTCCCAAGTGCTTGGATTGACAGGCATGTATCCCCATGCCCATAACTACGAAAACGTTTTCTTGAAAAGGTAGTTATGGAAAAAATTACAGCTGTATTTTATGTTTATTTATGGCTTAGCGTTGAGGCTGTTTGGAGTGACCTATAGGTTAGAACCATAGTTTCTTTAGTATTAAGTAAGGTCTTACTCTAGCTGTGGTCTGTATATCTTTTATTTTTGTTTTTGGTATTGGGAATTGAACCCAGGGCTTTTGCACTTTACTATGTCCCCAGCCCTTCATTATCTTTTAGAGAAAGGGTCTTGCTGAGTTGCCTAGCCTGAGCTCAAAGTTGTGATCCTCCTGCCTCAGCCTCTCAGAGTGTTGGGATTACAGGCATGTGCCACCACACCTGGCTAGACTATATTCTTTTTTCACCTCAGCCCTTAGGAAAAATGATACAAGTCTCCTTTGGTTTTGACTTATTTTTGGTGGTGGTGGGGATGGGATTTCCCCAGTTTTTTGTATCCTGGGTTACAAAACACACATTCTGCCAGTTTATAAAACATACTGGAATTGTATTAAATTAGGCATATTCAAGTGTACATTTGTGTAGTGTAGACCTAAAACGTGACATTTAGTTCAGTGTCCACCGAATAGATACATCTTGCTAGTTCTACAAATGTTAGGCTCATTTAATTTGCATGTATGGGGGATTTACACTTAATTCATCATGTTTTTGGTTTTTATTTTTGCAACTTTTAGGACATTTCAAGTGAATCAAACTCTGATTATATATTTGATAATAGGTGTACACCTTAGGATTTTCAGAAGTGCTTTCCAAACTCAAAACTCTTGGAAATACAGTGTTGAGGTAGAACAGAATAAAACTAGGTAGAAAGGAAACCAGGGAATCAGGAATTTAAAATTGTACTTTTAAAGGAAAACTGCAGTTCTAGAACATGAGCCCAGTTTGTTTATTTTTTACTTCTCCCAAAACAGCGGGCTTGCAAAAGTCCCTTTCTGCTGCATGTGGGTCCGCCCATTCCCTTTCACCTGCATATTGCTTTTTCTTCAGCTTCCTCCAGCAGCTGCCCGGAGACACTGTCTCCTTCTCGACCCCTTAGATGGCCTGCAGTGTGACCTGGTGGGCAGTGAGAATAAACGTCCAAGTCACCCATACCGCTAACAGCTCTTGAATGTGTGCCCTACCTGGGCTTATAACTGGTGTCTCAGTCCTTCAGCACCTGCGCTCTGCTCCTGTGTGTGCCCTCTGCCTTCCTCCAGTTCTCCATCTGCCTTTTACCGACTTGTCTTGAAAATTCTTTTCCTCCATGGGATGCATACTTAAGGGATGGATTGAGTTCTTTACTTCAGCCTTGGGGCCCTCAGACCTAGCCCATGTCTTTTCTTAGTTGGGTGAAACTTGGATTTATTCAGACTCTGCAGCATGGTTTAGAAAAAAAAAAAATACATGGGATTCAAGCTTGACTTTTTCTTACAACAAAAATAAATCTAGAGTTAAATTTTATCTCCCTAAAAGATGAGCTCCAGTCTTCTAACCTCCAGTACCTGCGAATGTGACCTTATATGGAAATAGGGCTTTCCGGATGTAGTCAAGTCAGGGTGAGGTCACATACCCAGTGACTAGTCACTGAATGACTAGTGTCTTTATTTTTTAAAAAACAGTGGGGATAGGGGGACTTGATAAGGAAACAGTGCCCTGGGGTGATGGTGATGTAGATAAGCCAGCTGCCTGCTAGGTAAGCAACAAGCCTTGCTACCAACCATAGAAAGCTGGGAAATCATGGTGCTTTTCTCCCTCAGATCCTCCAGGAGGAACCAGCCTCCCTTATACTGTAAGTTCTGCTTTTGGATTTCTGGCCTGAAGTGTAACAGTAAACTTCTATTGTTTTTAGCCACTTGGTGGCAATTTAAAGCAGCCACAGGAGACAACAAATGCTAACAAAATTAAAATCTAGAAGTTTGGCCCCAGTATAATCTCCTAAGCTCATTTTTTCCCGTTTGTATCAAAGTGAAAATGCATTAAGGTACTGGTAAATTGGAAGCATAAGGTATATTGGCTTCCAATCAGCCTGAAGAGGTTTTTGCTTATTTCTTCCCTCTAGTCAAATTCTGAAAGTGTGCTTATTGTGTTTCATTAAAAAAATGAATTCAGGCCAGGGATTTAGCTCAGTGGTTCCACTGCCTGCTTTGCAAGCACAAGGACCCAAGTTCGATCCCTGGTACAAAAAAAGAAAAAATTAATTCATACTACTTTTGTCTACTCAGTGGAGCGAAATGCATTGTTGTGCAAATCTTCCTGAAAGACCGGTTTTAACTGTAAGGCCTGAAGCACATTTGCTGTGTCCTGAAATGCAGCTCACAAACCCAGGAGCCTCCAGCAGTAGCACTTTGCCCTGGCTGTCAGTTCTCAGGATTCCTTGAACAAAATGTCTCATTGCGCTTTGGCCAGACTTGACCACAAAGGGAACTCGCCCTGGAAACCCCTAAGGAGGTCGTTTCCAGTATGACCCACAAGGCCAGGGGTGCAATTTCTCTCTTCCTGCTTCCATGCACTGCTCTGCTGGATCCTGAGGAGCACTGACTGCAGAAAACCCCCATGAGCAACAGGAAAGAATGCCAGGTGTCAGTGGGAGTGGCTTGGCGTTGACTGACCATCAGGGACAGCGGAGAAGGAAGGGGAATTCAGAAAACCCCCATGAGCAACAGGAAAGAATGCCAGGTGTCAGTGGGAGTGGCTTGGCGTTGACTGACCATCAGGGACAGCGGAGAAGGAAGGGGAAGCCCTCAGTCCTTGGACAGAGACACAGCACATTCCTGAGGTGTGCTGGCCTCAGAATCGGACCTGACAGGGCCATCTGGGGCCTTCTGTTCTTTCTGGACAGAGATCAGCTCCCCTGGAAGGAGAAAGCAGACTAATAGAAGGCTTGCAGCTTCATGGGATCAAAGGCTGGTTCCGCTTGTCTGTGTGTGGTGCTGGGGACGGAACCTGGGGCCTCACACACAGCAGGCAAGACCCCTATCGCTGCACTCTGCCTGCAGTCCTGGCTGGGGCTTTCGTGGGGCATCTGGTATGGGTTTTTGAAGGACACCAGGTAGGTGTCGTGGTTCTGCCCACACAGCTTCTGGCCTCTCCTGCAGAGGCACACGGACAGCACCAGGGTGCTGAGGATCAGCAAGCCGCAGGAGGTACTCAGTGCCAGGAGGATGACCACTGAGCTGGGCTTGGTGGTGATGGTGGTGCACGGCCTCCTCCAGCCCATGGGCTCCAGCTGGCTCAGGCCTGCAGCGTTGGCTGCCACCACGCACACGTGGTAGGTGGCCCCTGGTGACAGCCCATACAGAGGGTGCTGTCGGGCGGTGGCATAGATTTCTCTCACTGACTGGTTCCTCGGATCGCCCTCCATGGAGTAGTGGATCTCGTAGGTGCGCACCACAGAGTAGGGGGCGCACCAGCTGATGAGCATCGATGTGTCAGTCACCTCCGACACCCCTTGTAGCTGGGGCGGGTCCGGGACAGTGTCCTCCCTGCTGAGGCCCGGGCAGGTGCAACGCGAGTGCTTCTGCAGCTCCACGCACGGGGTCTGCAGGTGCCTGCACAGGTTATAATCGCAGCGGCCACGCCCGAGGGGCACATCCACCTCCTCCCTGGCCCTCTCCTCCTGGCTGTCGTCATCCAACAGGATGATGGGAATCCCGCTGGCTGAAGGAGTCAAGTGGGAAGAGCCTTCGGTGACACCTGGCTGGCCTCCTTCAGGCTGGTTTGGAGCCAGGTTGGTGCTTTGGTCCGACCTGCACACACCTGACAGCTGGGAGAGGGGAAGAGGTCCTGAGAAGGGGCCCCTGGATCCTGCTGCTGGTGAGCACATCGTGTCTGCTGCCCTAGGGGAAAGCCATGGCGCCAGTTAGAAGACGTTTGCCTCAGGACTACTCTGGGCTGAGCATCCCCTCCTGCCAAGCCTTATAACTCATTCCAGCCAGGCATCACCTGATATGCACCCCATACACATCACATGGGGAGGAGGTGGCTGGCATGACTCGCACTGGGCAGAGAAGGAGACAAGTCCAGAAAGAGAGTGTAACTGCCCAGGGACCATGGCCAGCAAAAAGCAGAGGCTGAACTTGAACCTGGGTGAGCACAGTGAAAGGGCATCCAGATTCCCCAAGCAAAGTCCTTTGCTTTGTTCACACTTGTCTCCTTCCTGACAGTTAGTGCTCGTGAATGCACACTTACTAGCGAACATTCCTGAGTGCTCAACATGTGCTAAGTGCTATTCTTCACACAGCAACTGACTTACACTGCTACTTATATAATAGGTGGTTTTATCCCCATTTTACAGATGAGATAGTAAAGGCAGAGTGAGGAGAATTAACTCAACCACATTGACAGTTGCTGGTTGAATGATTAAGCCAGACTCTCTGGCTTTAGCCTGCACCTTCAACCTCTTCCTTAATACAGATGGGAGGTGAGAAAAGAATTCTGGTGGATGTTTCAGTTGTTTTCTAAAGAGGGGCAGTTAGCTGGTGGGGCTGATTTGAGGGTGCTCAGGACTAGGATGTCCCTGGCTCCCCAACTGCAAAGACAGCTCTTCCATAAGAATTCTTTTTGTCCTGTCCAAGAGAGCTCCATAAGCCTACTGGCCTTGGGCTAAATGGCCCAAGAGAGGAAGCCAAACTCCATGTTGGGTGTTCAGCAGGGCTGGAGGATAAGAGCACAGTTTGTGGAGAAGATAGATCTTCCCTTCTCCGTCTAGCAGCTGCGTGGGTTTAATCAAATATCTCATCTGTTTGAACCCTGTTCTCCTTGCCTGTAAAATGTGGCAATGATACACTTGGTTTGGCAGAGACAAGGCTAGCTGTTCACTTAAACTACTTTTTCTCACTGGGCACTCAGCTAGACTACATTTCCCAGTGTCCTCTGGAGTTGGGCGTGGCTTGCCCTGGCCAATGAATGTGAGTAGAAGCGAAGAGCGCTGCCCCATTTAAACACTCCTAAATTAGCCACTCCTTGTTCTTCGCAGTCTAGCTGGCTGGAATGGGGGCTGCGCCTTGTCATCCAAGTGAGATTACATGCAGGAGGGGTGCCCTGCCCAACAATGCCTAGATATCCAGCATGGTCATGACAACTCCAGCTCCTGGAAGCTGACCTTTACACCTCAGCCCCAAGCTTTGTTGATGTTACCTGCTTATGACAGTTCTCGTGGCATCCAGAAAGAGCCAGGATAACTCACAGCTGCAAAGGAGAGGGTTTCCAAAGAGGGTAACAGACAGCACCTGGGAGGAATTCATGGTCCAAGGAGGGAAGGAACTCAAGTTGCAGCTAAAATAACACAAAAAATCAGTTGGTCAGATTTTACATCTGTCAGCTTTACAATGAGGTTAATAATGTTTCAGAGATGCACAGTGGTACCATGGGAAAGCCGTTTAGTTAGCAATTAGATGAGATTGCTTTGTGGGGCGCCCTTTGTGACCTTGGGGCTCATCACTAAGTATCGTCCCTCATATCAAACAGCGGTAATTCCCTTGTGACAAGTGGTTATGTCAGTGGGAGTCTGTGAGGATGAAACTGTTTACAAGTGTAAGTCTCCACACAAAGGCAGTGCTATTATAGACTGATGATAATTGGCAGGATTTGTTCTCAGGGTTGGCGGTGGAATCCAGGCAAGGGCTAGGCAAGTTTTCTATGAGATATGCTCCAGACCTGGACTCTAACTGATGGCATACAACACCAGGCCTTTGGAAGATGCTTCACATCCGGGCAGCAGTTAAGCACTTGCTAAGGGAAGAATAGCCCCCAAAACTTAGTAGCTTAAAACAGCAAGTATTCCTTTCTGTCACACGATTTTGTGGGTTGGCTTGGTCATTCTTGTGCTCTGGGGCGGATGCTGATGTTCTCAGTGAGGAAGGACACTGCAGTCCGAGCTGCTCTAACACTTCTGGCCAGTAGGGAGGCGACAGTCAACACCTTGGGAACGCCAGCTCTACACGTGTGGCACATATGGAAACTCAGGCTGCACCCACAGATCCAAGCTTGGACTTCTCGTTAGAACGGTGGCTTGATCATGTTCCTCCTGAAGAAGCCTCTCTGACCCAGTCTGGTGGGTCATTCTGTCCACCTCCCTTATAACAGCACCTGGCACGCGCCTCTGCCATAGATCACGATATACTGTGAAGAACAGCGGATTACTGTCCGTGCCAAAGCGCGAGCTCCTTACTGGAGACCGATCATATCGTCATTATCACCATCACAGCTGTCCCCTCCTGCACTCTCACCACCACCACTGTCATCACACAATCCTCACCATCCTTCCCTTCATCATCATCATCGCCATCATTGCCCAGCACCAGCACCGCCAGCGCCACCATCACGATAACCACTGCGGCCAGCGCTTCCATCCTCACCAACGCCCTCATGCCTATCTTCACTCATTCTATAGAGCACCTGCTGTACCCTAGAAACCGAGTTAAGAGCTCTCCATGTGCTGTCCCCCTTTCTGTCATAAAAAGCCCTGAAGTACAGTACTGTCGTAGCTATTTTACAGAAAGAGAAACTTCATGACGTTTGTATTCTGGCTCTTTATACAGCCCCGCCACCACCTTTCTTTTTTAAATCAAGCTCAGAGGTGTCAGAGCCAGACACATAAAGTCCTTTCCCAACCCTTTGGGAGCTATCTACCGAGGAAAAAGAAGCAGAAGTTAGTGGTTCTGTGTTTGCTCTGAACACCTGTCCATTCTTTTGGAAAAATAATTCCGTCTTTAGTGTCTGCATCTAGGACAACAGAACCAACAAAATCCCCACCCCAGACTCCAGGGATTTTCTGCCAGTAGCAATACTTTCACACAGTACTACCTGCATGGCTCTTCCAGGCTTTCATCACACTATATTTTATTGGACCATGGGAGGCTGATCAGGAGATAGTACTATTCTTTTATTGAAAACTATTAAGTTATAAGTGGGTTGGGCTGGACAAAAGTTCACAACAGAAAGATGATTCAATGCTGTTTCTATCGCTAATATTTTACACATGGCTAATGGCATAGAAAAAGCTGTTAAATAACAGGATGTTCAAAACATGGCTGTTTCAGGCTCAAAATCAACAGACCATAAAATGCTGAGCACACTAAGTGAGGTGGTAAGGGTGCCCATTTCTTTTCTTTGATTTTTTTGGCCCAGGGATTGAACTTGGGACCTTGTGCTTGCAAGGCAGACCACTGAACTGCTGAGCTAAATCCCCAGCCCTAGGGTGCCCATTTCTTAAAGTGAGATGCTGGAGGCCCTGTGAGGCCAAGGGAAGAGACTGTGAAGTGGGCTTTGCTGATCTGTCTCTGACCTCTGAGCTCTCTACCTAAGGCAGAAGAAGCTGTGAAGGCCACTTTGGAAGCACCCCAATTTCCCACTGTTAACCAGACATGGGGAATAAAGGATGCTTCCATTATGCCAAGTGAAGCCTCAACAGTCCTTGAGCCAAATGAGGGAGGAGACCTGGGACTACTGGTGTCCCTTGGATCTTGGGGAAGCGAAGACTTTGTCTGACTCCTTTGTGAGAAATGTAAAGGTCAAATGCTGGCTAGAGCATTCTAGCAGAGAAAAATGGGGAATTGACTGCTCTGGGGCTGACCATAGGTCAAAGGTACTCACTTTCCCAGGGCACAAAGGCAGCCTGGGATCCTCTCAGAGGGACACTGCCCTTCCTGTTAGAAGTCCAGCCAGCGGTTGCTCCTGGGCATGAACGTGGGTATGGGAACATAATGGCCACCCACCAGGCCAGAGGACACCAATTCCAGATCCCAACGGCAAGTAGGACCTTTTTAATTGGCTCACCTTTCCTTCTCAGTCCCACTCAAATCCTGAGAGAAACTCAACTCACAGAGCATGATGGGAAGGAGGCCGGATGCCCATATCCCCTCTTGCTACTGCAAATATCTCAGCCTGCCCTTTAAAACAATGTTAAATATCTAAGACTTAGAAGCTTTAATATTGCTCTGGACTGGACTGAGTTGCTAGAGTGGGTGGACCATCTGGGACCTGCCCAAAACATCACCCAAAGTATGAGGATGAACAAAACACTAGAGAAATTTTAGAAAAGCCACAAGGAAAAAAAAAATAAAGCTCAGTTTGTTCTATAAAATCTGACATAGTATAAAGGGCAAACATGAGTTATATAGTTAAGTAGAATGTGCTGCAGAAACACTCACTTGTGGAACAGAAGGCTCTCTAGAGAAGGGGTGTCCTGGAAGATGTGTGTGTGGACAGAAGTCAGCGCAGGGGAGTTGTGGCAATCCAGCTGCTGCAGGTTGGGGGTCATCTTGAAAACATCTCCCTCCAGGGTCCTCAGCCTTGGCATCTTCCTCAGGTAGAGATGTGTGAGATTTGGCAGGTTTCTGATCCACCCAGACTCAACTGCAACATAGGGCCAACACTGCCCGTTACTCAGGCACAAACCCAGGGCCAGCACAGTGGTCAGGAAACAAGAGCAGCAGACAAGTCAGGAAGGAAGTTGCCCCCAAGCACGGCGCAGTTGGCAGCCGTGGGGACCCCAGAAACATGGCCATTTCAGCTGGAGGCACCCTCACCGAAGACCATTGCTTCCTGTTGTGGCCAGCATTGGCCAGAGAGGAGAACAGCTGAGAAGGGATTTGGTGACAACAGCTAGGACATCACCTCCAAGCCCACCGTTGCCAGGACATCTGGTTAAATTCCACGCGTACAATAACCAGGCTTCTCTCTGATGGCTTCCAGGAGTGGGAACTTTGAGGAAGGCCAGGAAGCAGAGACAAGGATGGGGGAACGCCAGAAGCCCAACGACAGGCTCGCCTATGCCCCTTCCCTTCTGTGGGTTCCAAACTCACTCTTTTTTTTTCCTGTCTCTGAGGAAATAGATGACTTCTGACATATAACATTTTCCTTAAAAAAAATCAAACCCCCTGAATCAAGGCCAGAACCCCAAGTGTGGGAGCGCTCAATCCCCACCTCCCTGCTGGGTCCTGTTGGAGCGATCCACCACGCCCATACACAATTTTAGCCAAGCGAGTAGAAACATCAATGAATCCATCTCGGGACCGAGGCGGACTCCATCAGTATAAACTGTATTCTTGGTGCCAAGTTCACCGTGCATCAGCCCCTGGGTTCGTCCACTCTAGAAGCCTTTATGTGGGGAGGCAGAGCACAGTCGCTAAAATTTTAGATTCTGGACTCTGGCTTTGGGGGCACCAAGCACTTAACGACCTGAGACCTAGGCTCAGTCTTCCCATCTCTGTGCCTTCGGTTCCCTCATCCTGTTACATGGAGATCTTAATGGTTCCCACCTCTGAAGGTGCAAGGATTAAACCCCGCGCGGAGATCGGAGCTCGCTCACTTGCTGGGGAAAAGGAGTTGGTGGTATTTTTGAACCGTACTGTGAATAAGGCATCCGGGTCACCCCGGCTTTGCAAGACCACACTCACTTTGCTGGAGGTGCGTGCCGCTGAGGTCCAGAACCTTGAGTGTGGCCATGGGTTCTCCAGCCCCTCCCACGAACGCCGCTGGGGCGATGCCCCCCTGAGCACCGCTGCCCAGCTCGGTGGAGGAGAGGTTGAGCTGCTGCAGTGCGGGGAAGCAGACGAAGGCCCGGGGCGGCAGCTCCTGCAGCGGGTTTCCCGCGAGCTCCAGCACACTCGGGCTGTGCCGCGGGATCCTGACGCACCGCGGCAGCCTGTTCAGCCTGTTGTAGCTGAGATCCAGGGCGCGCAGCCGGGGCGGCGCTCTGAGGCCCCAGCGCAGCGTGGCGATGCTGTTGTGGTGCAGCGTGAGCTGCTGCAGCTCGGGCAGGTGGCTGAGATCGCCCACGCTCAGGGTGAGCAGCTTGTTGCGGCTGCAGTCGAGGCTCTGCAGCGTGCGCGGCAGGCAGCTGGGCAGGCGCTCCAGGCTGCGATTCGCCAGGATCCAGGCCGTGGCCCCTGCGGTGGGGAGCCCCTCGCAGGTCGATGCCATAGCAGCGCTGCCTCCGCTCTCCGGGGACCTCTGTGGAGAGAGCTGGAAGCCCGAGGCCTTCTCCTGCTGAGGCCCTGCCTCACTCTGGCTCGGCACAGTCAAGAGCAGCACAAACAGGGTCCACCGCATGGCGCGTGCCTGGAGAAAGGAGCGCACAGCACGTTAAGTCCAGCGGCTGCCCAAACCAGGACTAATGTGCGTCCCACCCTCGGATTTAGAGGAGCAGGGTAGGGCCTGGGCGCTCCCTAGAGGGTGGGGTTGGGTGTCCCACCGTCACTGAGTGTGCAGTGACTTTGTTCTTACTGCTTCCCCACGCGCAGTGACTTTCCTTGTCCTCCCCTCCTCTTTCCCGAGGCCTCCCCACCCCCTTGGTCTAGTCCCATCTTATGAGCTTCTGGAGGGAGGAGATGTCCCCTCTGTCCGTGTAAACGCTTTCCATATGTCCCAAACATGTGTGCCCTCAGTTGGGAAGATGCTCTGCTGGCCTAGAAACATGATGCTCACGGAAGATTTTGTCATATTCACTGACACTCAGTGGTCCCAGTTTTTTGCATTAGACCTGTCTCGCAACAGGTAAGTCCCAGTTCATAAAGTTCCAAGGTCCCGGTTTTTTTGTTGTTTTTTTTTTCTTGGTACCGGGGATCGAACTCAGGACCTTGTGCTTGTGAGGCAAGAGGCAGAACCACTGAGCTAAATCCCAGGCCCCCAAGGCCCTTTTCTTAGGAGCCAGCTCAGGGTTGCTTTTGGAAAAAGAAAGGAGATCCCAGAGAGGCATAAGGCTCAGGCCCCTGGTGTCAAGCATTTCCTGACCCCACAAAGGTTCCAGCGAAACCCAGGGTCCTCAGTGTCAGCCCTGTTCCCAGAGCCGGCCTAGGGCTGCCAGCTGTGTTTCCGCAGTTCTCAGGATTGCACAGGGAAACTGGAAAATCGGGTCAGGGTAGATCAGGGGGCCACCAGACACCTTGGGGGTGGCGAAGCTACTTCTAAGAAGGCCTTCAGGCTATAGCTCGATATCCCCATTACCTCGGATGTGTGCTCCTGCGCTAGCTCTCTCTGTGACCTCTGGATCTCTGAGCAACCATCCAGGCTCCAGGGAAAGGATCTCCCTGCCTTGCTAGTTGGAGGTCAAAGCTGTGAGAAAGATCTTGGACTGACGTCCAACTCACCCGGACGGTGTGTGTCCTCCAGGACTTTCGAGTCCTCGATCTTGTTTTATATATTCCAGGAGCCAGTGATTTAGCAGCTCAGCTCTGACCGGGATGGAAGGAGGCCTGCTTCCCACCGGCCCCTCCCGCAACACCTCCAGCCCCTGCTACCCCTCCTTCCACCGGACCTCGCTCTCTTTAGCTGACTCCCTCTTTGCCCATCTTCCAACTCCCCCTCTCCAGGCCTGGCAACTCCGCCCAGCCCTCCCCTGCACTCCACCTATCCCAGGCCTGAGCGATGGGGGTCAGCTGTGAGGACCGATGGCGCCTTCAGGCCCAGGAGGCCCCTCACCTCTCAGGAATCTGGCCTCACCCTGTTTCCCATCTCCTGGGATTGGCCTAGTAGTGGTCAAGCGACAGAGGAGGACGCCCTCTTTCCCAAGGAAGGGGCGGGACCGTAATCGGTGGGGATATTGGAGGAGTCTGGAGCTGGAGCAGGCAGAACACACATCTGAGTTGCTCCAGGAAGAGTCTGGTTGCTCTGGGATCCAGTTTGGTGGCAGCCTGGGTGCACAGCTCTCATAAAAGTGAGGAAAAATAACACGAGGAGAGATATAGAATGTGCATTCCTGCCCCAGGCCTGGGGTGTTCCGTCTGGATTTCTAAAAGCCCCTGAAGGTGTGATGATGCAACCTGAGCCTTGCCTGCGGCCACTGTTTACAGCAGATGGCCCTGTGCACCCCAGAGCTCCAAGGACAGAGATGGCTCATTTATGGGGTCTTGATTGGCACTCTGTTCCCCTTTCCCTCTAGCCCCACGAAGAAGTCTGAAAGATCAGGGCTTGTGATCCCAACTGTGTGCACAGACAAGCACCAGAGAGCTTCCTGTCTGTTCTGTCACTCCTTATCTGGGGAGCACTGAGCAATCCCAGGACTCCTGCTTGCCTGGTCGGTTGGGTTGCCAGGATAGTAGGAAGTCCCTGGGAGTTCCCTGGAGCCCTTCCTTTGAGGCCTTCTCCACAGTGTGCCCCGAGCAGCCTTCATCTGTGGGGCTTTGCTGGCCTGGGAGAGGCCACATCCATGCTCTCTGGGTGCCATCACCCCCTAGGGAGCCCTGGCCTGGTCCCAGAGGGGCACACGGTGCCATGTGGGGTCAGGAAGCCAAGAGGGAGGGGAAAGTTAGAGACAGTGTGTGCCTAGTGCAAGACTCGAAGGAGGAAAGAAGTTGGGTACCAGGAAGCTCTGTAAGACCAGATCAGGGGCTCCTCCAAGCCAGCATTGGCCATGCTGCCTACGGAGGGGCTGTCTGAGCTTGGCCCTCTTGGTGGCTTTGTCATTCAGGTTATCCCCAAGTGCAACAGATGGATCCTTGGCAGGCTGCCCGCCAGGCTCCTGAGCTGAGGAAGCAGAGGGAGACCTGCTGAGTCTGCTGCTTGTTCTTTGCCAGGCCCTAGGTCGGCCTTGTCCTTGCCCCATTAGGTAGCACACACTCCTGGTCGCCATCATGATCTTTTCTAAAAGTAGTCAGAGTTCTCGCTTCAGCAGCACACATGCTAAAAAATGTAGTCAGAACCAGACACGGTGGCCCAAGCCAGTGATCCTAACACTCTGGGAGGCTGAGGATTGCAGGTTTGAAAAATGGCTGGAGACGTAGCTCAGTGTGAAGGCCCTGGGTTCAGTCTCCAGTAATCACACACACACACACACACACACACACACTCACACACACAGGATATAGTCAGAGGCTAATGCCATGTGCATCCTCTCACTGAATCCTCTGCAGGTACTATCTATTCCCATGTTACAGATGAGGAAACAGGCTTACGGTGGTGGACTAGGTTCTGGAGCACACGACTAATGAACTGTCTGACTTGTACTGCTATGGAATTGATATGATATTACTATATTAGTACAGATTTCAATGACTCACCTTCTGTGATGCTGAATTTTCCCAAGTATTTAGATAGACTTAAATCATGAAAGAAGCCATGCAGATTGGACGTTTCTTTTATACATGACTCGTTCATTCTCACAGCACTCCGAGCCAACTTTTAGGCCCCTGGGAACAGGACTGAAGAAGCCTCCTGGGAAGGGCCCACTGGTCACCCTCTGCCGCAGGGCAGGCCATGTTTTCAGTCCCTTTTCTTTAGCACTTGGAAGCCAAATGAATGAGGTCTTTGTCCCACCTCAGGAAGGATGCTAAGGTTCCACGACAAAGTCCCAGGACCAACAAATACGTGTCTTCCAGATGGTGCCCGACATGTCGCTTCATACCAGATATCACACTACGTCTGACCCCATGACTTTTTCCAAGCTGTTCCCCCACCTTCGGTGGACTCAGTCTGCATTTGAGCCCACTCCCCTGTACCTGCCAGAGCTAGGGACTTGGCACAGAGATGGAGCCTGATGGCCTGCTACTGAGCCAGTAAGTGCCATGGGAACTCACTGAGAGACTTGGAGAACACATCCGGGACTGTTGGTCAACTAGTAAGGAGGTGGGAGCTTCACCCCCAGCCTCTCCTCCTAGCTCCAGGGGTCTTCCTATGGTTCTGTCTCCAGGCACACCTGCCTCTCCCTGAGCGTGGGCAACCGGGACAGGGGTGGGTACCGCTAGCACCTGTGTCAAATGTATTAGGTGACCTTTTTTGGTGTCCTCTCCCAGGTGACATCTGCTACCTGTCCTCTGGCCATTGGTGTGGCTCCTGCCTCACTGAAGGCTGACTTCCTTGAGAGATGGAGAACCTCATTGTTCTTCAGCTGTTAGCCCAAGGCACAGCCTAGCACTTGGGGGAAAAGACCCATGAATGGAAAGAGGCATGGCAGGGATGGGTAGAATGTGATGTTCTTCACAGGCAGTGCGGTGGACCTCAAAGCAGGAGCTGGTGACCAGCAACCTGGGTCTACCAGCAGCCCAGTGCTGGAGAGGGCTGAGGTGAGGGCGGAGATGGGGGAGGAAGCAGAAGTGCAGGCCAAAAGTTAAGTCACAAAGCAGTATGCACTCCAGGCCAGGGATTTAGCTCAGTGGTTCCATCGCCTGCCTTGAAAGCATAAGGGTTTGGGTTCCATCCCTGGTACCAAAAAAAAAAAATGTTATGCAGTTCAGAGACCCAAAATGCTTGTGGGTCTTTAGGGAGCCCCTTTTTTTGGTACTGGGGATCGAAGTTGGGTTCCTGCACTTGCAAAGCAGGTGCCACAACCACTGAGCTAAATCCCTGGCCCTAGGGGAGTTTTCTTTTCTCTTAGAAGACCACACCATTGGAATGTTAGGAAAATTATAGCCACAGGGAAAGAAAGTACACATTTGGCTATATTTTCTTTCTGCATTCAGGTAAAAATCTGGGTCATAGAGATCCTTGGCTTTGTTTTTTTTTTTAACCACGGATTGAACTCAAGATCTTGAGCTTAACAGGAAGGCACAGCAAGCACCACTGAGCTACATCCCAGCCCCAGATCTTTGGATTTTGAGGGAGTTCAGCACTTGCCCAGTTCCACCCAATTCTGTTCAGTTTAGAGGGAGAAAACAGTCCCAGAGAAGAAAGCAGCTTGTCTGGTGAGTTCCTAATAGTCCAGCGAGACGATTAGGAACTCAATTCCTTTCTGGCCTTATTTGTACAGTGGACCACATCTCCCCTGCCCTGACATTAGCTTAGCCCCCAGATGCAGCTGAGCCAGTGCACCTAGTGAGCGCCAGGCAGCGGAAGAGTCTCTAGGGGCTTTGACCCCATTGGCTCACTCCCAGCATTCAATCCCTTTAATACAGGTTGTTCCCAAGGCTCTCCAAGGGGTTCCCCTTAGTCTCTGTTCACAGCTCTCAACCCCAGGTGTCAGGTGAGTGCTCAGCATGGCCCTGCCCTTCAGATGCCAGCTGGCTATGCTCTGGGTTCTTCCCTCAAATGCTGCAGGCTTGGAATGTGCAGGCTTAAAGTTACATTCTTCTCTGACACCAGAGATAAGTGGACGGACAGGGCCGATTGTGGGAGGAGACGGTACCAGGTTGTCTGGTCCCTAGGAAGACCCAGCTTCCTGGAATGGTATGCAGAAAAAGAGACATTCTTTCTTTTAAACAAAACAACAGAAAACATAATATTAAATGTATTGATACATTGTATATGCACATAATGGTAACAGTCATCATAGGGAACTTGTAGCTGTGTGTGATATATCTTACTTCTCTTTTCCCATTCCCCTCCCCTCCCTGCAACCCCTCTTCCCCTTAGAAAAGAGATTTTCAAGTGGCAGGGACCAAGACATCGCAGTGGACTTACAGCTGTGGTCAACCTGTCTGAGATGAAATGATCTTGAGGACCCGAAATTGTCACGGGTTGATGGTCAGGCTGATTTTTCCATAAGGCATCACTCATTGCTGGTAAGATTTCACAGGAGGGTTTCTAGAATACTTAAAATGTAAAAAGACACGGTTTGAGGTCCTTTAAAATCCACAGTGGAAGAGAAAAGATTCAAATAGGGAAGAGAGGCTGGACGCAAATTTGTCACTTTTTGTTGCGTTTGGCTGTAGGAAGGCAGAGGAGCCAGAGGGTAGGTTGTTTTGCTAAACCACATTCTGAATTTGACACTGCCAGAGGAAGAGCACTCAAGTGACCAGAACCTTAAATGGAGTGCAAGTGGCTGGATTTTCATCCTAACACTGATCCTGTTTTACTGGGTGCAAGGTCTGTGCTAAGCTTCTGTTTTTTTTTTTTTTTTTTATCTGTAAAGTAGAGGAATTGGTTTAGAAGTATAGCACACAGACTGTGGGAACGTGCAAGCACATGTGTCTGGTGCTCATAGACTTGGGCCTTAGAGAGGAATGACACTTGTACCCTACCTGCCCTCATGCCGTTCTCAGTCTACAAGGGGCAGGTGGCAGGAGGCAGCCTTGCACACAGGGCTGAACTTTGTTCTGTTAGCATAGGCCAAGGGTCTAGGTTTTCACTAATGTGTTTTCAGGATTTGGCAGAACTGCAGACCATGTATGCATTCTGGTTTGCTATGAGATGACCCCAAAGGCCCATGAGTCTATTGCACTCCTGAGAGGTAGTGGCCTCTTTTTTGTTTGGTTTTTGTTTTGTTTTTTGAGACAGGGTCTCACTATGTAGTTGAGACTGACCTGGAACTCACTATGTAGCCCAGGCTGGTCTCTAACTCACAGCGATCCTCCTGCTTCAGCCTCCCGAGTGCTGGGATTACAGGTGTGTGCCACCACGCCTGGCCCAAAAGGCTTTATAAATAGGAAGGTCAATGCATCAGTTGTGGCATAGTCATACTACTTGGTACTGCACAGCCACAAAAAAGAATAAAAAGTGCTACACCTGGCAACACTTGAATAACAAGCCGGGTGTGCTGAACATCTACGCAGGGCCCCGTAAGTAAAGACTCAAGAACAGACAAAACCGACTAGTGACTAGAGTAGTGGCTGCCTCTGAAGAGCCTCCAGGTAGAGGATCCAACGTGTGCAGAGGAGAGGAAGGAGGCTGTGTGGTGTGGGAGGAATGGGCAGTTCAATATGGTGGCAGAATAGCAAGGACTGTGGGGGAGGAGCAGAGGGAGAAGAGGCTGGAAAGGTTATTTGGGGTTCTTTACTAAGCTGTTGTTCTTAGTGCTGTTTTCCACCCACTTCACGGTCTCTCTGCTCTCCATTCGGCAGGGTACTCCTGGCTGTTGTGGTTGGATCACATTTCCGCGCCCGGCCTTGGCCGGTTAACTGTAGCAGGAAGTGATGTACCCAGTGCATTTAATCGATGATGTGAGGCCCTCCAGAGCTGCTCTTCCTCTGTGGCACAGCGAAGACACTCTCTGAGACGGGGCCTCTGCATCAAGCCAGGATCCCAAGTAAGCCCAGAGCAAACCCGGGCTGGACACAGGGATAAGTGGTATGAGGAAGAAAGCCTTGTGGCTTTAGGTTGCTTATTGCTGCGGCATAATCTGTTTATGTGGACTGATGCAGGCCATAATTGTGCGGTCAGATTCGTTCATTCACTCACTCACTCACTCATTCAACACATCGCAATTCTACCGTGCCCTCGACACTGTTCTAAATGCCGGAGCAGACCTGGTCTCGCCTCTCAGCAAGCTTTCCTTCTGTTGGGAAACACAGACAGTAAGTAAATAAATGAACAAGGTAGTTGCCCATCACAGTAAGAATTAAGAAGGAAATAAATGGGGGATAGACAGGAACTGGGGAGGGGACTGCAGGTGGTCTTCGGGAAGGGCTGCTTTGTCTGAGTTGAGATGGAGCTGTCATGCACACGTTCGTGGGACCCATGATCCAGGGGAGAGCAAGAGGGAGCCTGCAGGGGGAGCAGGCAGGCCTCATGTGCTGCACCCCCTCGCTGCTGTGCTGATTAGGGGCCTTGCAAAGCTGGAGCGTTACAGCAGGAAGGTTGTAAAACTGGGGGCTGTGTGTGCCGATGATGGTTTCCGAGTGATGGCAACAGAGGTGGAGACGGCAGACAAGTTTGAAATATGAAAGTAGAACCAAAAGGGGTTATTAGTGGTTTGGAAGTAGTGTGGTAAGCTAAATAGTGGTCCTGAAAGATATCCAGATGAGAGGTGCTTTAGACTCTAAAAGTGGCTGAACAGCTTCTGCTGATTGCCCTCCTTTTAGGTGGGAGTCACGTGCTATTCTTTTCATTTTACTGCTGGAGGAATTAGGAATAATTTCGCAAACTAAATCTGAAAAAGAGTCTGAGATTAGTATTCCAAGATTACTGCTTTTCTTGGAACATTTAAGAGCATGAAAAATTCCTGCTTGTTTTACTTGAGAAAATGTTTGGCTCCTCAACTCCTGTGAATGATAAAAAAAACAAAAAACAAAACAAAAAACTATCTAGCAAGAATCCATCTTCAGTAAAGTTATTTGGTGAGCAAGGTCTTTTCGCAAACTGACGCTTCCAGCATCAAAAACGTGTTTGTGATTCTTGTTCCGAGACTGATCTCAGGAGGGACTTACGATTTACACACATTCACTCATCGGGGTTTTTACTTATCAAACCCTTCACTGAAGTACTTCATCACAGCCGCATAACTCACCTCACTTAGTCTTGGAGAGTCCCAAGTATTGCATCCTTTGGAGAATAATCAAGTCTCATTAATAGCAAGGCTGTTATGCAGAGTATCAGCTGACTTAGGTCTGCAGAGGGTCCCCCAAATGAAGAGTCAAGGGCAGCGCCACTGCGAAGGTTCACACAGGCTTCACAGACCCTCATCTCAGGCTTTGAGTCACCCAAACAGAATGTGGGGGCCTGCCACCCTCTCCTTCCTCTGATACCCTCTTTCTCTCTCTCCCCCATCTATCTATCTATCTATCTATCTATCTATCTATCTATCTATCTATCTATCTATTTATTGGCTTTTCATCCACCCAGCTGGCCAATGCTACTGCAGGGTTGCAGGGTCAGACTCAATCCTTGTCTCCTTATGCCACCGATTCACTTGTTCATGGTTTACCGCAGTTAGGAAGTTGTTCAGCTGCACTCTACAGAAAACCCATCGAATAATGCATTAGCTATGTTCATTTATTTTTACTGCCTAACAAAAAGTCCAGAACTAGGCAGCTACTGGTGTCCCTTCACTTGCTCCATAATGGCACAGAAGTTTTCTGGTTTTGGGGTTTGCTATCTTAGTGTATCTCCTTCATCCTTGTTGCCTTCTGGTTGCAAGGTGACTATGGCACCTCCAAACATCACAACCACATTCAGGGCAGGGAAGACTCAGGAAGAGTGAGGGGGAAACCAGCTGTGTCCTCACCTTCACCACGATAGTGAAATATTTCAGAGTCCTCCACAGCATACTTCCCCCGAGACCTCACGGCTCACAGTCGGGTTATACGTACACCCTTACCTGCAAGGAAAGCTGACAAGTCCAGCGTTAGGCCCGCTGTGGTGAATGTAGGCCAAAATGATGTGTCACTGTGCTTAGACACATGGACTCAGCCCAAATCAGGTTCTGCTATCAAGGAAGAAAGGAAAATGGTCTGGTAGGTAGGCAAATAATGAGGCTGGCAACAAACAAGAGTCTGCTGATTTTAGTTCCGAGACAGCTGTCAAGTCTGCTCTTTTTGAGGCCCTAGCCAGCCCACAGCATGTGACAGCCCTCGGCTATCCTGAGTCCTGCCTTGCACCCTGACTTTTGTTCTCCTTCACGGCCACATGCCTGTTCCCAATGCGCCTGTCTGATCCCAGCACCGCATGGGTAGGAGCTCTCACAGGTCCCTCCCTCTGCTGACCCACCCTCTGCCAGCCTGACCCAACACCTGCCCTCCTCTCCACTTGACAAGTCCTTGGTCACCCTTCAAGGCCAAGGCTAAGTGTGCCCTCCTCTGGGAAATTTCCCTGATCTGCCCCCAACTATAACAACACAAATTATTCCTTCCTTTTGTTCTCATATGTCCTTTAAAAAATACACTGTGAATAATGCTTATTATGCAGCATTATAGAATTATTTGCTCAGATGTTCTTGGTAGCTTTAAAACTACATTTAAACTACTATAGTGACTTTAGCAGCTGTTGTAATGCCTTGTCTCTTGGTGTCTATTCTCTCTTTCTGTATCACCAAAAGAACCTTGATTGCTGGTCAAGCCCATGGCTACTTTGAACAAAAGCCAAGTATTTCAATCTCCCTTGTGGCTGATTAAAGCCATGTGACATAACACCCAGAGCCACAGCAGCCTCGTTGAATCATGGGATGATGTTAAAATAACATTGTGTATAGACACAGGTGTGTATGTGTATTTGTACATAAATACATAACTTTCTCATGACTAATACATTTTAATATTAATATTTTCACTTTTTCACATCTAAGATTGTGCACACACACACACACACAGTTGAATATGAAAGAGGGACAGGCAGACAGATACAGGGATTTGAATGATGACTGCCATGATATGATGGACTCTCAGAAGAGGAAGTTTTAAATTATGAGAGAAAACTGGAGAGAAACTCTAATTACAGAGATGCTCAAAATCTAGTATTACAGAAGGTTATTGCTTGGTTTTATAATACATTTACACACACACACACACAGTTGAATATGAAAGAGGGACAGGCAGACAGATACAGGGATTTGAATGATGACTGCCATGATATGATGGACTCTCAGAAGAGGAAGTTTTAAATTATGAGAGAAAACTGGAGAGAAACTCTAATTACAGAGATGCTCAAAATCTAGTATTACAGAAGGTTATTGCTTGGTTTTATAATACATTTATTTGTGTGATCTTTGGCAAGTTATTTGACATTTCCATATTTCACATTATGTCTTACTAAAGCAAATAGCTGGAATTTGTCATTGGGATCCACTCAAAAAATAACTGTAAGATTTTAAGAAAAATAATAAACATTTAACAATTTATATTTTTGAAAGGTAAGAAAGTAGATTTTAATTTTGTTTGTAACATAATATTAACAATGACTAAAATAACTTTCAAAGAACAAATATTGCCCATGAATTCATTGAATTACATAAACCAGGTAGTATTCCTAGCAGAGATTGAACTCGGGAACTTTCGCTTGCAAGGCAGGCGGTGGAACCACTGAGCTAAATGCCTGGCCCCAGGTAGGATTTCTTAAATATGTGACCACTAGGTTGGGTGTACCCCACAAATCCCTGTGATCTCAGACCCGACCAAACTAGCACAAGTACATTTCCCACCCCAAACTCATTGCTGTTTGTGCCTCCTTGTCCTAGAGGGAACTTTGCTTGGGTCACTTACTAGGAACTGATTACTCAATACTTGCAAAGTTCAAACAATCATTTAAGAAGAGGGGAAAAGGTCAGGATTCAGACATTTCACTCAGCCTTGGAAGACAGCCTATGTCTGGTGGGAAATGGCATTAGCTGTTTGCGGGCAAAAGTGAGAGTTGGGCCAACCAGCGGTGGGGGTGGGAGCGGCATGGGGTGTCTCAGGTCAGGGTTCGGTGTTCTCTTTGTTGGGAAAAAGGCAGACATTTCCTGGCCTTGACCCCACCTCTGGCCCAGACCGGCAAACAGATGTCCTACTGGACAAGTGGGTCAAGAATTAAGATCCGAGTTCTTCAGTAGAAAATTTCTCATTGTAGCATCTGAAATGTAGTTTAAAGCAGTTGGAAGGGAGAACAACATCTATGGAGTTCAGAGGGCCTTCCTCAAATATGATCCTAGAAAAATCAGCTCTGGGACAACACTACAATCTAAGACAACCTAGGACGCTTAGCCCAGGAGGCCTTGCATTCCCATGGGAAATACAGGGAGTACTAAAGAGCAGTGCAGGTTGCAAGGGCTGGATTCGAATCCTCGATGCCCATACACTAGCTGGTGACCACGGCAAATCTCTTGACCTCTGTGTACACCGTTCCACTGCGTGCTGTGATGGGTTGGTCCCTGCCGGAGCTGCATGTTCACCTCGACCCCAAGCCTGTGTGTACTGATGTCACGTCAGCAGTGGGGGGTCTTCGCACCCTAGGAATGGGCAAACCAGCGCTGGCTTGGACCACAGAGGTGCCAACCATCACCAGCACAACCCTTCACACTTCCTGATTTGTGCCGTGGGGCTGACAGTCCGTACCTGACCAGAGGACCAGGCGAGAGGACTCTGGGCACTCACTAGGGATTGCCCTTGCTATGTGAGCTAATTCTTCTGGCCCTGCAGTGTTCGCTAGAGCTGAGACTGGTCTTCGGAGAGGTGAGAGCTGATGGCACTCACTGGCACAATGGCTGGCAGAGCCATTCAGCCTTCTGTTCTCTCTCTCACCCCAGGGCACATCTGATTGATTAAGACTTTCAGCCTACTTTGCACTTCAAGTTACACAACCAGGGGACTGACACAGAGGGTGAAGTTCTGCTGGCACATTGACAGTGGAGGCCTCTACAAGGTGCCCTGGGTGCTTTGCCCTCACCCTCCTTGTCCCGATCCTGCACCTCTGACAAATGCTGTGGCCCAGGACCACACTTGGAGTAGAGAGATGCAGTCCACATGGGCTTAGTGGGTGGCCCCTGACCCTCAACAGCAATGAAGGCGCTTCTGTTTTGAAGTCCAAATTGGATGTGTGTAACTCCTGGAAAAGAAACACTAGTGCTGAATCTTGTTTTTCTTCTTTTTTGATAACACTGGGTCCCATGGTCTGGCCTGGCTGCCAATCTTGGTTCTTTGCGAACATTCAGGAAGTTAAGTGACAGCATAGAGATCCAGGGCTTTTTGGCAAGTGCCTGGTCAGATCTTCACCTCGAGTGCTCCCTGGCCACTGAATGTCCCACCACATCCGAGTGCTGCCTGGATGGCTGTCCTTGCTGTCTCCTCATGGCCATAGTGGCACAAGTGAAGTGTCCTTTACCAGGTGCTGGACCCAAATGGGCCCCTTAATGCACCTACCTTGTCACCAAGGCCTATAATGGTGGCATCTTTTGCATTAGAAGGCAAAACTTGGGGTTTTGGATCCTTCTGGGCCCTGAGTTTTGCTGCTCCCCTCACTAAGGGCTCTGCCTCCTCCCCACTTTTGCAGCCTCAGGAGCAGTAAAAAAAAAAGCACTTCTTGCTTCCAGGGCAAAGGAGATAAACAGTTCCAGGAGGGTGAGGAGCAGCTACAGGGCTCTCTTCCAGGACCAAGCGGAGGACAGGCAGTAGGAGACTCAGGGTCTTTGTCAAGGTCACACAGGGAGGCAGAGGAAGCTACGTTGAGAGGACATTTTCCACTATTGTTAGGAGCCTCAGAGAATCTACAGGGAAAGCTCTATGAGGCCTTTGCTGCTCCATGCATGGTGGAAAAGCAGAAGGACAAGTGGGCACAGGACAGGACCAAGGGGCCACGTGCTTATGACAAACCACTTTTGGAAAATGAATCTGCTCTTGTGGGCTACATTAAACCCTTGGTGAAGGTGAAGCTCCCACGGCTGGAGCATCTCTACAGGCCCCACCCACCTCAGCCCCGCTACACTGTCCGGTCAGTGAGGTCCGGTGGAGACAGCCCCGACCCAAGCCGTAGCACTGATTCTTGGTTCTGCATGCGATGTGGGGAAATGCCAGGAGGCTCCTGAAGCTTTCTCTAAACCACCCAGCCTGGCTTCCACGTAACTCTGGGCATAGGGATGGCTTAATCTCTTAGGACCCTCCCTTCAGGTAGCCAGAAATTTTCCTCATTAAGAAGTTACCGTCCCAAGGACAGCAGGGCAGCACAGGTGTTTGTGGGGACAGAACAGAGGACCGGTGGCTTTCTCTCTCCCTCCTTCGATAGCACTCAGTATTTCCACACCACCTCGGCGATGTCCAAAGACAGGGAAGCCCGAACACAAGTGAGAGCCAAGCGCCGACCTCTGCATCTCCCAGTCAAGCTCCAGGACTTAGGAGTCCATGGGCGGGAGGCTGAAAGGCAAAGTCCTCCTACTGCCCATCTGCCTCTGGGAGACTCTGGGGTGGGGAGGATGAAGGGAAGAGGCCAGAAAGTCAGGTTTGTATAAGAAAATAACGAAATGAACAGAGGTCCTGAATGTAGAGGTGGAAAAGGAATCTGGTAAGTATACGAAAAATACCTTTTAAGTGATTTCAGAAAGTAAATATTGCAACATACCTTGCTCTCTGGTGCCTATGGCCGAAAGGTGAGTGTTCAAATAACTCAGTTCATTTTTCTGACCTCGAGACTTTCCCAAAATAAAAAATTGAATACTTCCTTACAAGGAATGTAAACATTACATACTGCAAACATGTGCACCAATAATAATAAAAAAATACTCAAGCTCCTCATTTCTGTGACTCCCAGACCTACTGATCCATCCCCCTCTCCTAGCTAACTCTGGAGCAGCTGCTATCTTCTGGCTGTTCTACCAGCATGAGCTTGCTGTGGGGACCCTGAGTCAGGGACGCCACATCTGGGCTAGGAGTGGGGCACAAGTGGATGAGGGAGGGTAGGGTTTGCTGGGTTATGATACACCTGGCTTTGGAGCCTGGTTCGTTATGGGCCATGAGGCTGTGAGCAAGTTATCCACTTTCTGGGCCTATTTTCCCTGTAGAAAGAGGCAGCAAGTGTTCTTCCCCTCTGTGGGCTGCTGTAAGCATGGCAGGAAGGATTACAGTATCTATAAACTGGGCACCATTACCCACATTACCTGCCTAACTCTGTTTGGCCACCAGCCTTGGAGGCTGTGAGGTTCTATCTCGGTGACTTCAGAGGACTGCAGAGCCTGTGCTGGAATCTGGGATGGCAGGGAGAGGTGCTCATCAGACCCGAAAGGCCTCTTTCCTAGCAGGATTCATTTGCCTTTAAAGAGACGGCACACAGCAGTAAAGAGGACACAACTGGACTATATTCACATCCATATAAACCTTGTAATTAAAAAAGCCATACAAAATAAAAAATGCAGATCGAAGCATCTGGGGTAGCTAAGACAGCAACCAGTGTTGAAAGGAACACATTCATTTAAAATTTCATCATAGGAAGTCAGGTGCCCTTTTGTACCCAGTGTAGGAGAAATTTGGATTTGTTCTTTGGAACAGTGCGTTTAAGGTCATTTTGCCCCACTACTCCCTTGCGATGTTTGTGTAGTTAGTTATAGAGGAAACGCTCTCCTGAAAGTGCTAACCTTACAGGCAGCTTAGTGAAAACCAGTCAATTCCAGGGAGTGTTTCCCTGGAGACATCAGCCCACCATGAAAAGCTAAGGTGGGGGTGGAGTGGCCTTGGCCTGCCCATGGGACACGGAGCGTTGATCTCCTTGGCAGCAGACAAGGTGTGGGATGAAGATGCACCATTTTATGGAGAGTCCATTATGATCTGAAAGACCTGTTCAGGTTCACATAGAGCCCTGGGCTACAGAGAAATGACCAGCTCCAAGCTGAGCACAGTAGCACAGGATTCTCTATAATGGGAACCAAATTTTCCACACATAAAACCATGCCTGAGCTTTGAGCCACGTCTCAGAAATTCAGCTGGTGCCTGGGAGCTTCAGGAATATGTCTAAGCAGAGAATGCCCAGAGGGGAGCTTCTGGCCCGGGGCCATGGGTCTCCCCCAAGGCTGAGTCCATGCAGCTGCTGGACTTGCTGAGATCCTGCTTTTCAGGTAGCTTTATGGGAAAAAAGATGACAGCTGGGGCTGGGGGCTGGTGGGCTTCGGGGCCCTGGCCTGGCCCCCGAGGGGTGCAATCCAAGTGAACTGGAAATGCAGTTGGAACTCGGCTTCTCCTTCCGACTCAGGTTCTTTGGGTGGCAGTACAATATTTATAAAGAAATAAAATATTTGATATCTCCCTTTACTTCTATTATCACTTTTCACTTCCTCCAAACTCACTCCTCCCACCACTAATAAACCAAAATGGTGGGTGATGATTCAGGAGGTAACTGGCCCAGGCTGAAAACTTAGGACAGGATGATATAGCAGGAAGCAGAGAAGAGGGTCCTGGTACTGGACTGTGTTTTATGGAAGTCAAAGGCCTTGAGGGAAAAGGCTGGGCATCACGGCAAGTCCAGGAGGACACGGGGTCCCAGGAGTCTTTCCCTACCACACAGACCATGAACGTGGTGGTCTCCAGTCTGCCTCGCTCCTCGACCAGCTGGGTGGGGCCCTACTAGACTCCTTGGGAAATAATGGAGGTGGTTTGTGAATAAAGAACTGCCTGCCTTCCCGAACCCCATCCACAGCAGCAGCAGTTGAGGTGTGGATCTGGGTTGAAGAATAACTTTCCTTGCCCCTGTTGTCACCCATGCCTTCAAGAAGGACTTTAATGTTATTGGGATCTCCAGGAGTGGGACGGGGGCTCTGGGTGGCAGCAGTAACAGGAGAGGAGGGGCAACCAAGACCAGAGGGGTCATTGGTCACCTCGGCAGATGTCACTGCAATAAAGGATGACTCCGAAGACCGCTTGTGCCAAGTGGTACCCATAACCCGGCCCCACACCCTCACTTCCTCCATCTCCAAGGAGAAAGTGTGTGTAGACAGGACGGGACTAACATCTACTTCAGTAAGAAAAGACCTATTTCTCTTCATACCTGAGTTTGTGTATTAGGAGTCGTACTCAATACACGATTTTCCCCTACTGTCTCCGACACTGACTTAGCAGTGAGGCAGATGAACACGTCTAGCACGTCTAGCACGGCCCTGGAGCTCCACACTGGGCCTTGGCGGAGCCCGGCAGCACCACCTCTTCTCACCCTCCCCCTGTACAGAGCCGACAACTGAGGCCCCTGCGCGGAGCTGGCACAGGGCGAGGTGGGCACAGAGGTGTGCTGGAGTGTGCCGATGAGGCGAGGGTCCGGGAGTCCCCTGGTGGACCTGTTCTGCACTAGTCCAACCGCCCACCGGGCAGGTCTACGCGCTCCACGGACCCCATTTGCCCAGGGAGGACGCGTCTCCTCGGTGCAGGCCAAACGGGCCTGCTTTGCTTCAGTCCTGACCACCAGTCAGTTTGTGAAAGAGGTCCTCGTCCAGGGTCTCATTCTGGTCCTTGGAGCGGGTGGACAGGAAAATGTAGCCGCCGATGCACTCGTGCACAACCTTGCAATCCGCACTCAGGCAGGTGAAGGCAATGGAGACGTTCTGGTCAAACTCGATCGCCACCTGGAAGAGGAAGGGTGGACGAGGGGAGGCGGGGCTTAAAGTCGGACTAGGAAGGGCGGGGTAGCTGCTGCTTTGCCGGCCCTGGCCGCTGGGGCTGAAGTGGCTAGGAGATGCACGCATTACGGACCGCACAAGAAACCACCGCTTCCATCCCACGTCCCACACCGACAAGGGAGCCAGGTCTTTGCTCTTTGCGACCTCTTGTGGTGTCAACTCTGATGCGCATCTGGTAAAGTATTCCCAGCGCACGCGTACAAGGGTGATTTGCCGAGATCCCGCACAGTGCATCATCTAGCTCTTCCCCGAAGGCAAAATGACTTTTGAAAGAGAAATGTTTGGAATCCAGTCAGAATATCCAGGCAGCCACGATAACAACTAAAGCCATTCATGAAAGAAAGGGGTCTTCCAGAACTGCTTCGGAAAGTGGCTAGAATAATGGGGTAAGTGTATTTGAACTGAGGAGGAATATTGTGAGGGGGTTAATGGCAATATATCTTTTATTCTAACAATGAAACAAACACTTTCAGTACTTTTCAATCATACCTCATACTTTCTGTCTGCCCATCTGGCTGTTTAGATTTAAGAGCTACCCAAGCCTTCCCTTGTGGAGTTTTGCACTCTTCAATGGAGAATAAATGGCCTGCCTGAATTTTCCTTTGTCCACTGCCCCTCCCGAGGTGAAAGTCAAACACTCAAGGCACCACATATCACTGGCTCTCATTCGCATTGGAATCACCATGAAACTTTCACAGTGACAGTGCCCAGCCCCACTCCCAGAGGTTTGGATTTTACTGAGCTGGAGTGTGGACCAGGAGATCTTAAAAAGCATCAACGTGTTAGAGCGGCTGCACTAGGGAACATAGATCTCTGACCTTTATTCTACACGTGTGTGCCCAGATGGTTATGAGTGCTGCTGAGGAGTCCAGAGTCCTTAAGAAAACTGTAAGCCAGGCATAGTGGCACATGGTGTAATCCCAGCACTCTGGGAGGTTGAGGCAGGAGGACTGCAAGTTTGAACCCATCTCGGGCAACTCAGAGACTCAATGAGACGTTGTTTAAAAAAATACACACACACACACACTAAGTGGTAGGTCTCTTTTCTCAGTCAGCTCCATGCACATACCCTCTTGGCACTGGAATGCCAAGGTGGGCAACTGAGCCTTTGCGCCCTGGATCAGCTAGATCTGTTGGCAGCTGGAATGGTGGGTCTATTTGAACTTACTTTGTAAAGCAGTTCTATCCCAGGTAGGTTCTACATACCAAGTAATCATCAACCTGAATCTTATGCTGAGTCAATGAAAATCAACATACTGCTAAGCAATTTTACAGTCTGTGTGTATGAAAAGTCTGAATGGAGACTAAGCCAGCTCGCAGTGTTAATAAGAACATTTGACCCTTGAGGTTCAGTGGCACATGCCTGTGATCCCGGAGGAAGGGAGATTGCTTCAAGTTTTTGGCCAGCCTAGATTGCATAGTGAGTTCAAGGCCAGAATGAGCTAGACGGTGAGACCCCGTCTCAAAAACAAAAAACAGCACAGCAACAACAACAAACACAATAACAACAAAAACAAAACCAGAACACTTGGCCTGTGCCTGTTAGGAAGGAGACTGCCTGGAGTTGCACATGATTATTTTAGCACACCATTGGCACATTTCTGTAGGTTGTTAGTTCTAAATATAAAGACACTTTCTTAAAATCAGAATAATCTGCAATTCTGGGGAACAAACATTTATAGGTGGCAGAGCATCTGCCTAGTGTGTGCAAGGTACTGGGTCCTATCTCCAGCACTGCAAAAACACAAGCAAAAGTCACTGAGTACCAGAAACTTCCCTTTACCTGCCGGATTTCCCAGTTGACATTCCACTGCTTCATATTGGTGAATCTCCATGTTGTAATTGGAATCCCAGTGGCTGCATCAATTCTGATCAACCTATTGTATGAAACTCCCAGAATGTCATCTTTCTTGAAACCCTTAAACCTGAAAAAATAATACTGATTCAGAGAAGCAACTGTTCATTCATATACAACTTCTTAAAGAGTAGTCAGCAACATTTCTAGATTACTTCAGAAGAAAGGACACGAAGGACCAGTTTACAGTAGGAGGACTTTTTACTGTGATAAAGAAACGATGAAGAACACAGGCAATTACAGTAACCTCAAAGTTATTGAGTGAAACTGACCTCAGAGGAAAGTGAAATCAGGCAGAGTCAAATCGATCCATCCAAAATTAGCATAGATCTGTGGGCCAGTACCTTCTAGGCACTAGGACACAGCAGTGGGCTGCACAGAAAGAATATTCCTGACTGAGTGGCAGGGGTGAGAATCATGAATAAATGAAATACTCCAGATAAAGGGATGAGGGTGGGGTGTGAAGGGGTAATGCAATAGGAGCCTGGACAGGTCCCTCACACTTGACTACTTAAACAGGCATAGGACTTGCTCTGTTTCTCTGGGTTCTCAGCAGGAACCCACTGTAAGTACAGCTTGGTGAGTTCAGTAGAAATGCTCAGCAGAGGTAGAGGAGGGATTAGACTCTGGGCCCAGTTGGCTCAAGTGTCCATGTTCTTTCTACCATTTGGGGCTGGCTTACAGGAGAGCTAGGTGTGGTGGTGCATGCCTATAATCCTAGCACTTGAGAGGCTGAGGCAGGAGGATCCCTAGGAGTTCCAGGCCAGGCTGAGCTACATAGTGAGTTCAAAACTAGCCTAGAATACACAGTGAGACCCTGACTCAAAACAAAACAAAACAAAACAAAAGAACCCCCCCTGAAACATGGTGGGGGGTCAGATAGGATAAAATAAAATAAAATGTATTTTAAAAACCCCAACAAACCAACCAAAAAAAGTTTATAGGTGATTATATGTGTGTGTGTGTGTGTGTGTGTGTGTGTGTGTATGTGTGTATAAACATGCACAAGTATGCCTGAGCACTTGTGGTTGTCCAGCACAGCTCTGTCCTCTCTCACTCTTTTGCTGGGGTAAATAAAGCAGAAAGAGTTGCTTGTTTGGGACAAACACCAGGGACAGAAGTTGAATGAGGTGCTTCAGTGACTAGAAAAGTCTGAATCAATGGTCCTGCCAGCAGAGGTTAGAGGTTAGAGAAAATGATCTTTGGAAAAGAGGCAAGGAAACAATGAAAACTCCACTTTTGTAAAAGTCAATTCTTTAAAATATAAACCAATCTTCCTATTCCCAAGTAATACAATGAGAAAGTGATAGTCTCTTCTGTACTATAGGCTGAAGTATAAATTTTGCTTAAGCACCATCTGTCTTCTCGGCTGAGTTAGAAAAAAGTTCAATTTACAAGCACACCAATGTACACATTTTGGGAAAGCACTCATTGTCCATGGTGGGCAGAGCCTCGATGCTCAGTAGGGTTACCAGGGAGGACGCCGAGGCCTGCCCCTCACTAGGAGGTGAACTTGGATGACTCACTGGTGCTCTTTTCTTTATCTCAGTGCTCCCATCTGTGAAATACATGAGGGCAAAGGATGAGCCATCTACAAAAGCAATCTTTAGCAGAAACCATCAGAGTGCCATGGAAAGAGGATTGCTTCCTCATGAGTCTGGGAAGACACGACAGGGTTTATTAGGACCTGAAACGTAAGAACTCTACAGGGCTACGCCATGAGATGCGATGGGACATATACATCCTGATACGAATGAAAGTCAGAGATTTCATAAAATCAGTAGCTGATTGTTCT